AGATCCATATTATCATCTTTCACCATATAGTCATGTTACAACACGACATCCACCCCCTCTGAACTTCTGCATCTTCCGGTATGCACCAAATAATCCAACTTTGTTTGATTCATACAATATTTTCAATGTCCTCATCCAATTCTTCTTCTTCATATTCGCTATTCAAATCAAAGTCATCTTGTTGTCTTGAAAGATTTATATCTTTGACAAAGTCTTCTATAATTATTTATATTTGCTTTTATTTGAATATCTTCACTCGCTTCCATTATCATCATCCTTTAATCCAATATATGCAATTTCCTTCAAAAATCTTCTAATCCATTTACTTGATAAATACCAAAAATCTCTCATCATCTTTTCATAACTCACATAATATATATATATATATATATATATATATATATATATATATATATATATTGAATGTCAATAAACTTGAATCAAAAGTACCTACATCTTATAAGAGTACCTCCTTTTCATACCTCCATAGTCTTATTTTACAATGATACTTTTTCAAATTTTTTTTTTTTTTTTTTTTTTCCCAATAAAATTGAAATCAAAGGCATCTATATTTTATAAATGTATCTTCCTTTTTATACCTTCATAGTCTTGCTTTACAATAATACTTCTCCAAAATCCCCTCTTTTTTTTTTTTTTTTTTTTTTTTTTGTGAATAAAACTTCAATCAAAGGCATCTTATATCTTGTAAAGGTACCTCCCTTGTTATACCTCCATAGTCTTGCTTTACAATGATACTTCTCCAAAATCGGTTTTTTTTTTTTTTTTTTTAATGCCAATATTTCCATTTACTCTTCATGTGCAAGTAGTATGCAAATATCTTCCTTTGCATATGACCAAACCATTGACGAGGTACAAAATTTGAAATCAAAAGATTGAATTGAAACCTCTTCCACATAGCCACATATATCTTACTTGTATCTTTTTTCTTATTTTTTTGATTCCAAGTCCCATTTATGATGTCCAGGTAATCTTTAAATCCATTTCTCTCATCTTTATATTTGAAGATTTTTAGATTTTCAATCCTTGAATTCCATACTTGACGATAAACCTTATCTTTATCAAAATCCAATTGTATCTCCATTACATATCCATTATCTATGTAACTTTGACCTTGGTCCAAAAGAGAAGTGCTCACAATTAACTTAATCATAGTCAATGACTTAGCATCCTTATCTTTTGTCCCATAATCTTCATTTGCCACATAATCTTGTATAAAATCCTTCATATCTTCTTGAATGCATCCTTGTGAAACATCATAATCTTTTGTTGTCTCAAAGCATTGTATAACCTCATAATATTGAAAATTCTCATGCTCTTTTGAAATCTCATGTTCTTGAAAAGTCTCACAACTTTTACAATAATCTTTTGTGGTTTCACAACCACATTTAGTATCATAACCTTGTGCAATCTCATAACCCTCTTTATAATAATCATATGAAAACTCATAACTTCTTTCATCCAACTCATATATGGTCTCATAGCCATATGTAATTTGACTTTTATCATCATATCTATGCATAATCCCACTACTTCTCACATCATAATGTTGTGAATTCATACAATCTTCATGATTATAACCTTCAATGGATCCATAATCCATTTTTTGTAAAGGTTCAACCTTAAATTCTTCAACACAATCCAACGTATTAGGTAAAACATCCTCACCTCCTTCAAACGTAGAAAATACCTTTTTATCACCAAGAGATATTTCACCCAAATTGCCATCACCAACTTGCACAAACTTATTCAATATAGAATAGTCATAGCTTCCAACCGCATTGTCATTAGTTTCCAAATCCTTAATCTTCACATTACCTTCAAATTTTTGGATACCTTGGCCTTCTATAGTAATAGTTTGAAAAGAATCTTTTTTCTCTCCTTCACCATCCTTGGTATAAGATCCAATTTCTTTCATCTGTAAAGAATTAGCTTCTCCATTAAAATCCCCTATTTGCTCTTCTATTTCTCTTTTTTTAAGATTACTCTCCTGCATTGATAAAGATGACATAGAAGCCAAAGTAGAAGATTTCTTAGGCCATATTGAAACTTCTTTAGCTTTTGCTTCTTGTTGCCTTGCTAAAACAACCACTACTTCCTTCAACTTCTCCCAATTATTAATATAATCACTCTCCGTAGACTCATCTTCAAGAAGCATGAAAACCTCATCTTCCAAGGCATCATCAAGACCATGTAAAAACAAATCTACCTTTAAAGCACCCAATGATCGTCTCTCCAAGGATGAAAGTTGATAAAATCTCCTATCAAATTCTTTTAAGAATTCATAAAGATCCATATGCTTACTTGATTGCAACTCTACCCAATCCAAAAACTTTCGCTTGGTAATTTTATCCTTATTTCCATCAATAAATTCTTTCTTCAAAAGTTCTTGAAATTTTGACCATGTTTCTACACCTCTTCCAAGCAATTTCTTCACTTTTTTATGAAATCTAGGTTCAATAGCCAAATGTAAGCTTGAGATCATCTTTGCCTTAGGGATTTGGCATGTCTCCATCTCACATGTATAAACTTGCAAAAACTTAGTGATGTTGCATCCTTCAAACCTTCCAAATTTGTTGATGATTCCTTGCAATGCCCTTGTGATATCTTTTTCAATTGCTTGCATTCTTTGTTGCTCCTCCATGAATATATAGAAAGCCTTAAAAAACTCACTAATATTTGATCCATCTATAATATTCGACATATCCAAAAATCTTGATGACAAATCTTCCATTTTGTTCTACAATGATCAAAAATGTTCTTTGAAATTCTCCAATAAATACCTTATGATACTTCACAATGCTCCAACATATCTATAAAGCCTTATAATACTCCATGATAATCCAAATATTGTCATTATATTTTAAGATAGTTTCCAAAGCTCTAATTCACATATCACCCAAAGCTCTTCTTCTAACTTTCTTGTATTTCTTCTCTAAAATTCAAATAATCCAAGAAAACCAAATTCATTCCACCTCAAGCGTTTCACGTCGGGTTCACCACTTATGTCGTATTACGTGCTTTCCTGCTCGAGAACGCATCAGGCGTCTGGCTGTAGGAGGTAGTATGAAGATTCGCTAATATTCAAGCAGTCTATCGATTTTTGACTGTTGGAATATAAACGATTGTAAGAATATATCGTAAATCTATACGGATGTCCTTCAACTGCTCGTCGAAATCCTTTTTGCCCTAGCCGGTAGGTCTCTAGTTGTTACAGAGAACCCCGAACAACCCAATCTGCTAATCTCCGATACCGCTTTATACTCACGACCTTGTATCTATTGACTGTCTTGTTAGATTAACCCAAAAAATTTCATTCACTTCGCATACTCATTCCTATAGACACCCTTTTAATTCTTCAATCACAGACGTAACTTTGATTTCACAAAACAGTCAAGAGTAATCACACCGACTTCATTAAAACCCCGATTCACCAATACAACACATCAACCTTTCAGCATTGATCGCCAGAAGTCCCTTTTCTGACCCCTACCCAAAAACCTTGTATCCTCCCTTTTTCTTAACCTCCTTAATTCCCGAATCTCTGAATCCTCTCTTCCACCTTAACCATTTCCGAATGTTTTTTTCTCCCCCTCTCAAACCCTAGCCTCTGAATTTCCTCAATCTTTCGTCTTGGATCCGAAATTGGCCCTCGGCGTCAAAGCTTTTTCCTCCATTTTTTGCCTTTTAAAAGGTTCTTCTTTCGGAAACAACGTTCCCTGAAACGGCACAGAGAACAGGACAGCCTGAAACGGAATCGAAACCCTCGTAATCAGGACCACATTGAGTCGCCCAACCAAATCAGGTCTCATATTGGCTAAGAGGCCCGTAGTAAGACCTGGATGTTCCCATAATTGGGTCAAATTGGTCCTTTGCATCAGGCTCACTCAGTCATCGATTTAGTCCTTTTGATTCTGTTGACTCCCACTATTGGACTCGAACGGAGCATTTTGTTACTGGTAAGTATGCCCTGACCGACTGTGATGGGGTGTCTGAACTGGCCCCTGAATATTGGCACTGGAATCGATCGTTGCTCCCAATATTCGAGGTAACTGAACATTAATAAAAGTCTCCTTTCTTTATATTTTCACGGTATACTCGTGTTACAACACGACACCGCAAAATTGTATTTAATTTTATGCAAATGCCAATCACAAAAATCATGGGTGTCATGTCCTACTAGTGGGTAACACCACCACCTGCTTTCATGACTAGACCAAGTAATGTTCAAGAGAATTTTGCACATCAAAATATTGAGTGTTACAAAACACCATATGATATATGATAGCCACTTGATCAAGCAAGTTCCTTGTAAGATATTCTTTTCAACAAATTGGTGAAGCAAGTTCCTTGTAAGATATTCCTTTCAACAAATTGGTGAAGCAAGTTCCTTGTAAGATATTCCTTTCAACAAATTGGTGAGGATATTATGTGCAAAAATTGACTTGGATTCTTCGACTAGTGGCAGTGTTTTGTTGCATGTTTTTGAATAATGGAATTTTGACTGGTTCAAGCCAAAAGAAATTCCATATTTGCACACTGTTGTGGTAATATTTGTGGGACACAATGCTTGCCAGATTGTTGCAGGATATTATTCTCTGTGTTGGGGCCTAAGCTTGCTTCTTTCTAGACAACCAGTCTTCCATAGATCTAGGAACCCCGTTCTGAGCATCTCTTGACGAAAAGCATGCACTATTTTTGAAGGAGAAAAAAAACTGTCGCACACACATACGAAGAGTTGTGCGACCAAGATATTTCCTGGAAATGGAAAGATCACCACAGTTGGAGTTGAAGCATTGTCAGCAAAAGCTGTTCATTTACTCTCCTGAAATGTACGACTTGTGTTTTAACTTGAGTTAGAAGTAAATAATCTGTGCCACGCAAAGAGATGAGGGAGTTTGTGTAAAAGGATTAGTTGCGCATGAATATAGCATGTATGCCATAAATTGAATGAATGCAGTATTCAGTTGAATTCACGCAGATTGAAGATCAGTAACAGCGGACAGTGTATTAAAAGAGAGAGCGAGAGAACCTTCTGATCCTCGAGCATGTTGACCAGGACGGCATCAGGAACATATTCTGGGGTTACTACCACCAAGAAACTCGATGTTCTCAGATGCCTACAACGAAAGGTTTTAATATCACATAGTACATAACCTATACGGTTTTTTGGGGTTTTTATCATAATGAAAATGAATATATCAAGCCGTACTCCATGCAAATGATGGAGCAAGTGGGAGCTGGACTATAAATCAGCAGATCAGTCCTACTCATATCAGTGTGTCTACACAAACGGAACTGCTAGAATGCTCCAATTCACAAGATATCTGCTGAGGTGGTACAAGACTTGTATCTATCCATGGGTAAACACCAGCTTTAGAAATTCATTGGATACCCATGAATCTTGAAAGCGGCCCCTGAGAGACAGACTCAAAAAGTTGAGGCAACGAAGCCACACGGGGTAGATTCATTAGTAACTCTCCTGTGCAAGGGTTTTTGTTGAGACACTGACCGACTGAGTTGAATGAGGGTTCCAACATACTGGTACATTTTGATAACCTACTATTACTGTCAAAATTGTTGTCAGCCTGCCCATTGTCCGTACCAATGCTTCGTCCGGTGTTCATATTGTAATACCCAGAGTTTCCACTCAAAACAGAAAAACCATCAAAAACTGGCTGAGAAGGAGGGCCAGCCTGAAAGTCTCTAGCTATGACAGCTTGCATAGAGCCCATTCGGGCGGCAAGGAGGATTGCTTGCTCGTTTGAGAGTGAGGCAGATGAGTCTCCGAGCAACACCTGCGCAATCTCGTCCAAGATCTGTCTGTTTGCAGCTGACACGCCACCACTCCCTGAATAAATATTCATTGGTGGCTTCAATTCCGGAAGATCGTAGCCCATTGGAGAAGAGTAAGCTGAATCAACAGGATAGGGACTGTAACTTCCCAAGTCGCCATAATACTCCCCGCTATCACTGTCACCACCCTCCTCACGTCTGCGGACCTCCATCACTGCCATGAGAAGAATTTGTAATGATGTTGAATATAAACAATAGTTGAACCTTATTGATACAGCACTAAACTTCATCCTAACAGAGACATGTACATAACAGCATACCGCTCGATGACGGGACATACAGCAGCGGCTAATGTGCAGAACTAAAATGCAGAATTAAACAAACAGATATTAGTGCATTAGCGAGTGACTACCAGAGCTTGGAGAGGATGTTTCGTTGCTACGGTTCAAGACATCCGACTCGAGTTCGGGAGCAACAGCAGGACATCCTGTCCTTCCTTGTAAATGTGAATAGGGAGACAAGGGAGAGTCGGGTCTATTACTGAACCCATCGTATACATGTCCCAGTGCATTCCGAGATTTTGTACGCTGCAGCACTGATTGACCTTCTACACCAGATTCACTCGAATCATAACGAGGAGCCGATCCTGACAGAGTTCCGTCAACAAGCGCCTTCAGCCGAGGATCGCACTGGACAAGCTTTTCATAATGTCTGTTCAAAACACCTTCCGGGAATTGCAGGTAGTGAACCCTGCCACAGATAATCCAGTTGACTGTCACACACATAGACCACAAAAAAACGAAAGACTTCAAACGAAAGACGCGGGTATCAGATACAAAACACAAACTTAGAGCGAGTTAAATTAAATTCTAAATCGATAGTACTAAATAGACAAACATTGCTGTTCAAACATCTGTCGATCAACCGCAATCTTAACCCACGGAAGGTTGGACCCAACGAGAAAGACAGCATAGCTTACTTGCAAATACTTGCTTGACCTCCTGTAAAATCGGTGGTAGCTTGCCATAAAGTGTGCTTCCTTGGCTGAGGATTTGTTTCCTTGAAAAACAGAGGAGGACGAGAAACCTGAAAGGAACCACAGATTACTATGAGATTCAGACGTCAAAACACAACCGACTACGAAACCACTCAAGGACTGAGAGCTTCAATCAAAATAGCAACAGTCGACCGACCGTACCTCGATCTCGAGGGAACCAGGAAGATTGTCGGGACAAGTAGCTTTCATCGCGGAAATATCAGACCACTGTATTTCGATCTTACTTTTGAGTCCACTATCCAGCACCTCCCAGACAAGCTTTCGCTTGGCGTAGTAACATTTGGCCACTAAATCACCTTCGTATCTAGATGCACGCTGATGTACAAGATACAACACCACTTGTCAGTGAATTCGAAAATAATAACCCAAAGCCCCCAAAATTAGCGATGTACAAACAGAAGTTCAACCTTAAGATTTAAAGCATATAGTCAATGGCGAAAAGGACCTGAACAAAAAAAAGGAATTCAACTTATACATCTCTGTCGGAAAGACACCGTAAATACCTACCTCCCAAGTTCCAATCTTCAGGGTTGATGCTGGGAAATTGGAAGCCTTAAGCTTGTCTTGATTATTGGACCCAGTTGGAGCCAAACATTTCCCAATTCTAGGTTTGCCAAAGCCTTGGGCAGAGTTTTCAGATTCAGCAGCTTGGGCATTGGCACTGTTCTGGAGTTGTAAAGAAATGAGGTCCAAAAGCGATGGTGTCTTCTTCAAGGTCAAGCCCAGCGGGCTGGGTTCTTCAAGTGGGTTACATGAAGCTTGAGAGACAGAAATAGGCATAGGAGGAAGCATTGAACTGCTTTTCCTCAGTACAGGCGATTGTGGGTTCCTAACTGGATGAGGAGATCCACCTCCATTGACATGTTCGAGTGTAACTGATGAAAAACGACCAGAACTCTGCGAAAGAGATGAAATGGCCAAGAAATTAATTATGATGGTTCAGAAAATAGCACGTCCTGTCTGCTTCTTTCGCATTGTATGGGTTTTCAGCGTAACCTATGAAGATATCTGACAAAGTAACGGACCAAACGACACATGAGTCACATGTCCCAGCATGTGACATCCAATGCATTCAGGAGAAAGACCAACGTTCAAATCTCTAGACCTGACACAGGCTAGGAAAATTGCTGTATTACTCACCTGTAACACTGGAGAAGAACCAGAGTCATGAAGCTTGGATCGTTTCCGGCCATGCATGTACAAGTCGTAATCTGCAACATCTCCTTCTGTTTTACGATGCAGCTGAGGCTCCGACTTCGGAAGGGTAAGCGAGGGTGGGAGGGTAAGTGTGGGGACGGGTGGAAGGGTGACTGGAGACACTTGCGCAGCACGAGCACCTTCAGACCGATTGCCAGAGTCATTGATCGTCATTCCGGCACTGTAGGTTGGCCATTCCTGTGAGATAGTGAAACCACCACCTGCCACAGTGGAGCCAGAGTGCTCACTCTTCGTGTGAGCTATTGGGGCCACATATGCAACCATTCTTCGAAAGGCCTGCTACCTTTAAAACCCCTTAAATAAATACGATATTCTTCTTAACTTCTTATAATAAGCAAATGAGCCACACAAGCCGTCACCGAAAATTGGATGATAGCTAAGAAATTCGGGCCGTTTGTCGCAGCACTTCGTTAGCAAGTGTGGTACTTTCGCGGTTGCACGCAGTGTTAGCGGAAAAGGTCTTCTACTCCCTCGATTAGAATTAACCAGATTCGGCGACGAGAGTCTAGAGGTCCACGCAGCATGGCCTCCTAAATGAAGAAGATAGTCTCTTTAAGGTAGTCACGAGGACGGCTTGTAATATCCTTTAGTTCACCGAAAATCGATGGTACGAGCAAGCATATTATCCTTCAAATGAAAGGGGGAAGGACTTGAGGATCACAAAAGACCCAAAGCCGAAAGAAAAATGTGTTCAGACTGCTATCAAAATTAAAAGCCCGAAGAGAACTACAGTGAGAAGGGTAACTCGTAGAGTTTGTATAAGATACAGAGAAAAAAGGCAGAATACAAAACTGAAGTTCTAAGCACCAAACTCCTGACGAAGAAAGGGTAACTGTACCGAGGACGCAGGTTCACAGTGATGAGATTCAAACAGCAGTGATACCGCACCAAAGCGAAACAAGTACAGGGAATGAAGACCAACTAATTACGCTACTACCACTGCAAACACGGAAAAGTACGGAACTTCCAAATGGCAACCTTAGAGAACACACAGGACCTCCGTAAACGAACTAGGATTCAAGAAGCTAAAGCTACAGCTCGATTCTCAAAAAGAAGCCAGAAATGCCGAGCGCCACGCACTAGTACAAGACTGAGTTCCCACTTCCCTGTAATTTGAGGATGCAAGCAGTCTTTAAACTGCAGATGATTTCACAGCACCAGAGAAGGTTCACATAGAAGCATCAAACTAGGAAATTGTTTTTTCCTAAGACTTAAACAACGAACGAGGAACACAATCCTGCTGTGACCAAAACTATCCCACCACAAATGATGACTTCGTGATTCCGAAGCAACAGCGCTGCAATACGTCCAGTCTAAAAAACGGCACGGTCAGGGTTGTCAACAAACCAACGTTACGAAAGCACAATTGAAGTATGAAGAACTCGAATTCACAGTACCGTACCAGCACCAAACCTCACAAAACACTTTGATCCTTCACCAGACTCAGCACCACCCCCACTCACAACCAAGAACTAACAGCATCCAGCGCGGCAGAGAAGCGCTCAAGTCGAATCTCCAGCCAGCGTCCACGACAGCAACCGTCACCAACGAACTCGACACCTAACCGATCGCAAAAGGTACGCACACAAACACCATGGCATAGAGTCGAGCACAGAGTCGAGCACTGACAGCAGAAGTCCACAATAAGCAAGGAGCAGAAGCAAAAGGAAGAGAGAGAGAGGTGGCGGCGATTGCGAGCGAATAATTCAAGCAATCCGGAACAAGACGACGAGATCCGGCAGTGGGAAGAACGGCGTGCCCGAGGCGAATCGACGCAGCCACACGAAGAACAAAAACACTACAGAAACGCGAGACCAGGATCGGTCGATCGCAGCAGCGCAGGACCAAGAAGAAAAATTAGAGAGCGAGAGAGAGAAAGGGTTCGAACAGTGAACGATGAGCGAGACGACGAGGGTTGGAAAAGATCACAATGGCTACTCCCATTCATATTTGTAGGTGGAGACACACGGACGCCACCTCCCCCCCCCCCAATGCGGCCATGGACCCCCTTGAGTTCGTTAGGTACCCCTATGCCCACGAGGGCCACCACCACCCCAGTTTTGGGAACAATTCCGCGGGGGGACATGACCAGTTCCTTCTCGGAACATGCGACCTCCCCCCCCCCCAGCCCAGCCCATGTGGGCTTCCAGTGGCTGCTGGCTTTTCCAAGAGGCTCTCGGCAGTGCGTGGTGAAAATCGTGGAGGCGGAATCGTCCTCCGCACCCGATTCCTCCCTATCACCGGGGGCCACAAGGAGACAGGTCACCGGCGATCACCTGTCCCCGCTGAGCTGGCTCCCGGTTCGTCTACCTACCTGGGGTCCCGCGGAGTGGACCCGTGGGTCCCGTGGGACCGACTCGTTACGACCCCACCCACCCTACTACGACGAGCACGAATGCGGTTTTTAACTCTATGCAAGCGGGGAATATTCCGAGCTCCTATGATTGAGAATCGAGTAGGGCCCAATTCCTTCCTGCGTCGCGTCAGAATATACGATTGTGCGATCGAGCGATGGTTGGGGGAGCTTTCTCATCCCATCCCTTGGGGTAGTGCTCTCTCCGGATTTCATCTCCGTTCCTGACCGGAATCGGTGTTTTTTCGCGCGATCTTCCCAATTCCCGTGAGTTTTAACCGTCGTCCCCACCGAATCGACCCAGTTCAGGCTTTTGGGTCGATCGCATTCATCGACGGCTTGCACCCCACCTCGCTTTTTTGCATAATTGCCTTTCGAGGAAAAGTTGGGTTGCATTCTGCATTCAGATACTTCGTTTTTGGAATGGGGGAAACAGCGCTGGTTGCTTTTTATACATCATGGAGCGTATACTACAAACGAAACCCTCAATCGTAGGGCTACATATCACTCAATCCACTGGCAATCTTCTTCTACTTCTGCAACTCCTTTCTGGCATTCTCTGTTCGACACTTTGGTCAGAGCGAGTTCGTGCAAAATGGATAGAGTTTATGTGGACGGGCCACGGTCACCTATGACCGTGGGTTCATGATCCCCCTGTGCAAAAGACCTAAAAAGTTCATTGTTGGTTTAGCATCCACTGGATTTTTATCTTTTCGTTTTTGTATCTCTTGTCTCATATCTCCACCAATCGGAAGCGAAACTTAGTGGATAAAGCCATATTTAGCCATGAGAATTCCACACCATTGAATTTCATTCAAACTCTCTTTTTTTGTTTTTGTGTTTTTCTCCTTTCGCATTTAATGTATCTTCTTCGGGGACTATCGCTGGGTTCATTGTTCCATGTTCATGAATTGGGTAGTTTACAAAAAAGCTCTTAAAGACACACCATTCCTTCGTGCATGAGGAATCTATCCAGTAAAACAAAAGAAGGATGAAATGCATGCATGTATGTCTCCACAGTGAAAGGAAAAAAGAAAGCAAACACACTTCGACATGAAGCATTGCAGGCCTCCTCCATAGCTTTTTTGCAGAGCAACACACAAACCCTAATTATGATGTCACAAAGGCCCTTTTTCTCCATTGCCACCCACAAAAAAATTGATATTTGTCCCAGCTGTGAGATTTCCTACATTTCTTTTGCCTCTTTCTCTTTTCGCCACTTTATTTCAGGACGCTCTCATTTCCCGAGAAGTCGTTTCCATCCATTGTAGTCACTGTCCAGATTCAGAACATATGAAACACATTCTCAGGAACCCACTCTTTCACACACTTTCATCCCCTTGAGAATGGTGTTGCCAAAGAGAAACGCACCTCATAAATTATCATTCTTTCTTTGAGATTAACTTGTCTTGTTTTTAGCGTCAAGGTGGAACACCACTCTAGGTTATAATGGTTCCAATAGTTTAGAATACAGTTGCAGTTTTATGTAGGTTTTGTGCTATTTCCAACTTTGCTCAGGGGACTTTGTAATCTGTTCCAATTCAAGCGAAGAATCTCGTTTTTATTGTTACACAGATTCTGAGCATGAAATTAACATTCTGTAAATTTTTACAGTTTTTGAAAGAAAATATCATACTAGATGTCAAAACAAAGATTGGTTTTTTGATGCTTTTTGATGAACAATAAAAAATAAAAATAAAATGCATCTTTTCTATATAATAAAAAGACAAAATAAATTGTCATTTCTCACAATAATTCACATGATACATTTTATTTAATTATATTTTTGATGGCTTAACGTCATTGTATTTAATTTTTAAAAACCTGTAATTGGGATAGAACAATATGTCATATGTGAAATATCTAAAATTTTATACAAGTTGAAACTAATCTAACTGTCATTCAAATTCATGAGAAATAGTGGAATAGATGTGTGAAACTTAGTTGACCAATTTACATAACGGGTACTGTAATCTTAAAGAAAATTGCGTCATTCTAATTGATTATTTTACTGTGGATTTGCCAAATTAAGTTTTTGAGGTAATGGAACATGTTTTTCGTGACAATAGATTGTAATACACTGTGAGTTGGTGTATAAGGATTATGATAAAATATTGTAAAACAATAATATAAATTTTGTTTAGATTAGAATTTGGAGGTAACTACATGCTGTTGATAATGAATTTCCTATTTACTCAATGCATTGAAGAGTTGAGGTCTAATCTGGGCATCATAATAGAAATTTAGTTTGATAAAAAATAGTTCAACATAAAATGATATATATATATATATATATATATGTATATGTATATATGTATATATGTATACATGTATATGTGTGTATGTATATATGTATACATGTATATGTGTGTATGTATATATGTATATATGTATACATGTATATGTGTGTATGTATATATGTATATATGTATATATGTATATATGTATATATGTATATATGTATATATGTATATATGTATACATATATATGTGTGTATGTATATATGTATATATGTATCACTAAAATGAAAAAATTTAAAATAATCCATTTGCCTAAGATAAGTTGTTTGTTGGTCAACCACATAAAAACAACCATTTGTAGATTTCAAATATAATATAATATCCAATGTGTGAATTACGTTTTAGAAAATATGTCTTAAGAATATTAATTCTTGTTGATAATCTGTACGCACCTGCATATTAAGTGCACTTACCTTGTATATTTAATTAACAAAATAAAAATACTTGTTGAGCATGTTTTCTGTTTTTTAAAACGTCAATTATATTGAAATGAGTAAGAATTATTTGAAAAAGATACTCTAATGTAGGGCAGCATTCCAAAAAAGATGTTACGTAATAAATTTAAAATTCTTATATAATTTGGTATAAAAATAAATAGTTTTTTTTAATACAAATTGGGTTTGATTTTACTTGGAATATTAAAAATGTTATGTTTCAAAATTGCATCTTAAAATATATTGAATAGTTAAGTACCATGGAATATTCGATGTAACTTTACATCAAATTAAAATAAAATAAGCCATATAAAATTTTGATTGATATATTTAAAATTGCTAACATTTTGTATTTATATATAAACACATACATGCATACATACATGTTCACAATAAAAGTAAGAAATATTAAATTGTTAAATTGACACATCTTTTTACTAAATTAAGGAATATGTGTCTTCTTACTGAATTAAGGAACAAGATGTTGGATCTCTCATGTGTGATTCTTGTTTAAATGGATCAGTTTAGCATTAAAGTGGGTCAATTCATCAATTCATAAAAAATAAAAAACAATTAAATCTTCAAATATATTTACAAAGGTTAATGTCGAAGTAGATATTGTGGAATCCTCTAGATATTTAGTTATTTTTTTCAAAAGAAAACTTAAAGTGTCTTTGTATTTTTAAGAAGAAGATAAGAAGCCACAACTATTAATATTTGTAATAAGTTGAAATTAAGAAGCCTTACTTGGTTGGATTAATACTAAAAAAAAAACAAAATGCAACCAAGAAATCGTAAAAAAAAAAAAAAAAAAAAAAAAAAACACGAGGTGAGTGCACTTTTCCCCTAATTAACAAGAATAATGTGATTTTCTAAAAGTTGTTATACGTCTATTTTTAAAGAGGTGATTTTTATTAAAAATAAAAAAATCACTCACTTTATGATACTAAAAACACACATTATATAATTCTAATAATAGTTTTAAAAACATATGTCGTAATTGTTAGAATCAAGATATAGATAAAAAATGGTTTGACCCATTTCATGAACTCCTCTCACATTATAATATCTCCAAAGAATGAGGCTTGTAAAAGAAGTTTTTTTCTTCTCCAAACAAACATATTTAAGGCTTTAGTACCATGATTTGTACCATGTACAAAGTGGTGGGTTTTAGGGAATATAAACCCCTTCCTCATTTGATTACCTAAGCGTTAATTCCACATAAAAAAACGTGATTAGCAGTGTAGTTGAATTGTCATACACCGTTTTTATTGTTGTGACACACAGTCCCGCAGCGACGAGGGCAAAAAGCCCGTGTTGCGATTGTTTTTACGGTCTTCGATGTCTGCAAAAGCTCGATCACACAACTATTATTCTATGTCAATAGCAATGGCGTCACCAACTCCCGTAGTTGATTCCAGAATAACTGTGTCGTCAGGAATTTTTTTTGAGGTCTGGAGTTACCAAACCGCGCATTAACTTCAGTTAGGGTTCCGCGACATAAATAACAAGGGGGGGTGGTGTGGAAGCGCCCGGTGACGTCCATGTGCCGAGCAGGAGAGGAAAATTCCATGCAGACCACATCACAGGAAATGCATATTCCGAGTTTATCCCTCCTCTCTCAATCAACAACCCCCTCGGTCAGCCATTGACTTCCGATGACACAGTAAAAGACCTTCGGCACGATCTCCGAGAAATTCATCTCCGTCGCTTGAACGGTCGTTCCGAGGCAATTGCCGGGGAGCGAATCGAAATTGCCCATTATCCTTGGAAGTTACAATAAACTTTCTTTTGTTTGTTTGTTTGTTTTTCCATCTCATCTTTTTTTTTTTTTTTTTTTTTTTTTTTTTTCCCTGAATGTGAGATAGGGGGTTGTTTTGTGCGGAAAAAGCTGAGATTGATTGATGAATTGTCGTTGCTACCGTTGCGGTCAGTAAGCTCAAAAAGGGTGTGTGTTCGGATTCCAACTCCACGAGGAATCTTTCGAGGTCTTGTAGTGTTGCGAGGGCGTGGTGGGGGATGCAGAAGAAAGATCTTGCTTGCTCCAGAAGAAGGAATCTCTCTCGTGGGAGCATTGGTCGAGATATTCCCGAATAAAACCCTAACCGAACGAATGTAAAGTGCGATCCCATCAAATGTATGAATGAAATACAGGGTGATCTTTACACGTCAACATATTAGTATGGCCCACACTGGACCCATACACCAAGGAAGAACGAATGACAAAGTTCGGAACCGAAGACAGCGGCAATTGGAGCCTTGAATGCCGTGGTTTTCGGGCTCCCCAGCGGCTTTAGGGGGCACACCGATAAACCCGCCCTGACAGCGGGGGAGAAAAATTTAAAAAAGCACTAAAGGGCTCCGAAGGAAGCACCTTAGTCGACGAATGAAGTTCCACGTCGGATTGTGCGGCTGGTGATGTGGATGAGAGTGCTGTCCGACTCCATCCGTCCTCCCCCTCTGTTTCCGCGCCTCGTTGGCCACAGGGTGGGGCGGCAAGTTTGGGCTTGACTTTCCAGGGTGTCAGTACTTGGTCCAGTTGGAAGGATCTATTCTGGGTGACGTGGATCGAAATCGTCTAGTTGGCGGTGTGGACGTTGTTGTGGTCCCTCGTTGACACAAATATAAATTCGTTCGTTTTTCGTTCGTTCGTGAGTTCGACCGAGTCGCCGCTTTAATGATATGGAATCGGACCGAAGATGCCAACTCCTTCGTTGTTTGCCCTAATTTGCGAGTGAGGACCTGGTTTGCCTCGATGTTGAGGGCTCCACTTGTTGAATGAGGGGTTTGACGTAGCCGGAGATGGCTTTGTTTTTGTTTTGCGAGGTCCAGGCGTATGGATAGCCGGGTCGCTTTGGGTTGAGGAAACGGCTTTTCGTTTAATTTGGAATGAGACGTGACATTAGGGCAGGGATTGAGTGATGGAGCTCCAGGGTGAGAGTGGATGGCACCGTGGATTTCTGCAGCAGTGTGGCCGGCACCCTCATATTGCCTTGCAGTGGCAAATGCACCCGGAGATGCTACATTTTGATCAGCCACAGCAGATGCATTCGTCGCCGCCGCCGCAGCAGCAGCAGCAATATCATCTATCGTAATAACAGGCTCATCAGTCGGAGGATCGTTGGTAAGGACAGCCTATTGAGTAATATGCGTCTCAACAGCAGCAAGTGATGCAGACTCTAGCTCCGCAATCCTCCTTGTCTCCGTCACCCTTACAGCAGCATTGCATGATGTTAAAGGCAAACTGAGAAGGTGGGCTGATGCGTAGGTTTTTCGATTCAATTGGAGAAGATTGAGGACAGTAGTTTCTATGGAGGATCTAGTTACGATTTTCAGAAGATTTTTTTCCTGGAGAATTTCAGCAGATCATGTGGAATTCAATATTTGAGGCTTTAGGGTTCCACTCTTTTAATCATCCTTGTGCCTCCGACGAGGAGTGGAAGGCTGTAGCGTGGTACACGCAAGAGCGTAGAGTTCATTTTCATTTTTTGGTTCCTGCAAATTTGTGGGTATGAATTGCGTTCGTCCGGTTCTACGAGTGAATTCATATCTATCGATTCAGGATTGTCGGGACATGTATATAATTTGATCTGTCAAATCAGGAAGAACTAGTTAAGTCAAGCATGGTGACTTTTTGGAAAACCTAACTTGAAAACTATCTATGAGCAGATGATTGTATGTAAGTGGTTTCTATGTTTAACAAGGGGTTTGTTATAGTAAATTGGAGCAACATGAGGTCTTTGAAACCTAGCGACTGGCTCACTGGCATGGTGTCTGTTTTCTATTTCAGTTTCGAAACGTTTCGGACGAGTGTATTCGTAAAAAACGTTAGGAGTGTGGATGACAGTTCATGCCCCGAAAACGGATGTCACCGTATGGATTTAGTGTTACATACCGTAAGTCAATTTTGCTCCTTCAATTCATGAACTCTGCATTGGCAATGGTGGCGTGCATTTATACTCGTTATGTTTGGAGACATGAGGCTTTACGGGAGATTTCTCAGAGTAATTCCTGCTGTCAATCTAAAGTTTTCTATTTTGCACGGTTACCCCTCGAGCAGTGGTCGGAATCAGGAATAATGGCCCTCGGTCAGAACGTTTCCATTGTGTTACATTCGAACAGCATTGTGAACGTCTAGTACTATGTATTATCAAGGGCCTATTCTATATATTTTTTGGACATTTGAGCATTGTCTATCCATCTCGTAATCGTGTTATTCGACCAGGGAACTTGACTTCAGGGCTCAGCCAATAGGAGGATTGGGTAGCCAAAGCTAGAGCATGGACTGCTGCTAATTCAGCGCAACCGTCTCATCAGCAACCTTTTTCTGATAGTTTTACAGCCCCCCCCCCCCCCCCCCCCCCCCCCCAATCCTCTGCCTTCACCTCCACCCCAGCCAGTGGACGGGTTAACCTCTGTTCTGTTTCGCTACAACTCCTGCTTCTGCAACGCTAATAAACATTTCAGAGCTTGGACCTAGCTATTCAGAAGATTGTTCTTCGAGTCGTGATCATTACACTACGCCATCAGGTATTCTTATGCTCATAGCACTTTCCAAAATTACTTTGTTCTGAGACTTCCTTTGTGTTTTGTTGGACGTTAATCATGCATTGTCGCGTGCAAGTTTTTCTTTTTAATACCTGCTTAGTCATGCAGATTGCTATGAGGACCGTTTATTGAATGTTACCGGTAGTCCTTACCTGCAAGGTACAAGTTTGTGGGTGTAGCTGTAATTGTTCTTACAGTAGTTTTGCAAATTCACCATCGTTTTGGTGCAGAAGAACTGATTCTAATACTGTGAAAATGGGCTAGGCTTACTTGTAACAGTACCACCAGGTACGGAACAATTGGAGATACTACAACCTTCTGCTCCTCCTCTGCCCTCTCCTCCAGCTTCAGCTTCCCTTCCGCACTTGTCACATCAATACTCACTTCAAGCACATTCCCAAGCGACACAAAATCAACAAATAAATATGCATGGAGGAATTAAATGATAACGATGATAATAATAACGCTGAAATATCACAGTGATTGAAATGATCGCACGATGTTGCATCGGAACAATAACGCTGGATTTCGGACTGTGGCGCCAAACCTGAGATCCCAGGGCTTAACAACCCACTCTATCTACGAAATATAACATCTGTACACCTATTCTAATGAGATTATAACCACTTAGTGCTAAACATCCCGTTAAACTTATGCATTCCTGACAACGTTGTCAAAGCACTCAACAGTCCCTGTATCTTACGTCGAAAAAGAACTTGCTTGACAGTGAATGAGATAATCGTCTTCATTATCACTGTTCTATGATAGTGTAGGTTTCTGCACTCGAAATTCGACAAGTTTTATTATGGTATCCATGCTCTGGTTCGATTCTGGATTACATCGTATTCGTAATTACTGTGGCTACTGGTAATGCCGGATGATGTAGAAGCTGAAAGGACTGCAGCTATGAATCAAGAAATGAAGTTGATCAACGACTCTTGGAGGTTTGGCTCTTTAATTTTTATTTCCTCTAATTCATTTACCAGGATTGTCGTGTTTGCACGTTTTATTCGGTTTCTAAAGAGATAATTGTACTTGGTCTTGTGGTTCAAAATTCTTATTATGAAACATTCAGCTGATCTGTATGTAGAAAATGGCACTAGTTGGTTTAGGAATACTTTGACATGATTTGCTGAATACTGGCTAGCAATTCACCTTCTTTTAAGCGACTGGATTTTCTAATCAGGATTTAGTCGCAAAGTTGCTTGTTTTCTCCATGTGCGATTCTGGATGGGTAGCAAGTGTTCGTGGAGGTTTGTTAATTCTACTTCCCTTGTCTATATGTATTTCAGGTCCTGGCAAAAAGGCTCCACTTTCCGAGGACGCAGGCGAGCAAAAGCAAAATCTTCCATTCCTCATGCTCCTGCTGTATCTGTTCCTGCACATGGGTCTGCTCCTGTAAAAGTCCTTTTTGCTTTTGCCCTCTACCGGAGTCTGGATGATAAAGATGGTGATAGCCAGAGCCTGAGCTCCCCAACTCCTGCTGAAAAACTTATTGAGACTTGCAAGCCATGCATCTGATGGCGAGGATGGCGCTCGCAATAGTTGTCAGGTGGTCGAGGGCAACCACGCTAATGGAGGAAACTCTGACACTGTATGTTCTGATTTGAAAAGTTCAGCTGCAGAGACAGGACGGGTGTTTCAAGATTTAGATTCAGAGGACAAAGCTGTTGCAAACGATGTGAAGTAGGATAATTGTTCTTGTGAGGAAGTCATAATTTCTGGTATTGCCGCCCGTCGGCCGAGACGAGCACGACACACATAGCAACTAGGTGATGAAACCGGTCAAACAGAGCTCTTTGCTTCACTAAAATGAGGTATTATCGTCAAGGAAGTTGAAAATGGGCTTGGTTGTTTCTGGAAATTCTGATTCGGAGAGAACAGTTGAGCGTAGAGGGTCACAAGCAGCTCACGTCAAGGAATTTTCAGGTGAGAGCAGGTTGAAGCACAAGAATTTATCCCACAATTCGCTTCCAACAAAACCCAGAAACTTTAAAGGTAGTTATGATCTTTCCATCAAAAGGAAATATGGGGAAGCTTCATCACATCTTTGCCGTGAAAAGAAAGGTGATTTAAATACATATATGGCAGGCAAAGACAGAAATCAGTCCACAGCCAAGCAAAGCACCGAGGTTGGTGTAGGCGAAGGTCACTACAAGATTAGTGCAAAGCGAGAAAATGGATGAAAACAGGTATGAGAATGAGAGAGTAAGATAGAACGAAGAGAAAGGTAAGGTCAGAGAAAGCTTAAGAAATAAGGGAGATGTTCATACTGCTCAGAAGATCAGTGAGCATGCAAGGAAAGCATATCAAGAAGAACGGAAAAAGAAATAGAAGGAGAGAGATAAACCCACATCTGCTGAGTATGACCGGCAGTGAGAGCAGCAGTGCTTCTGGATGTCGCAGCAGTCATCTTAGCCCTGTACGAAGTGAGACTCCATGTCGAGGGTAAGATTTGCATGACTTTATATTAGTAAGAGCTTTGGTTGTGGAGGATCCGATTTCTTGGCTGTGTGTTTCGCATCAGTATTGTCCAACTGTTCTGTAACACTGCGCAAAAGCAACAGAAAGGGCGGTTAAGCAAGAAAACAAGCCATTTCTTACCTCCATTGAGACCTCAGAGGTGCGTTGCTGATACACAGTTTCTATTGACGACTTTTACGCAAAAAACGAAGACCTTTTTTTTTCTGGTTTGGTGATATCGTATCATGACTAGCAGGCTTTTTCGCACATCTTGTGCTGAGGGGGCTACAGAATGGTTGGGCTGTTTGCTATTCTCGGTTGTCACATCTTTTGCTGATTATTATTTTCATGGTACACGGAATTTATCTTCCGTCATTGCTGTGAAACGGGTCGGTAGTGATTGGTTGATGACTAAATAGCTCCACCATTTGGTTTATGATTTTTTTCCATTGGTTCGGTACTTCTTCACATCATCGTTGTGGCTCTTACGTAACGTCGAACGTTTTAAGAACATTACGCACCGCAGTATTGAGCGGTCAGATCTTTCATCTTGGGTAAGAGAAATGACTGCTTCCTGTGTAGACCGCCTGCAAAGCACCTCTCGTGTATGTCTAGGGAGTCGTTATAATATATATATCAATGGTTGATTCAAATGCCACAATAGCGCGACGTGTGATTGGCTTGAGCGTAGTATTGGCACCGATGAAGAGCATATTTTGACGCTGATTCACATCCAATTCAGTAGTTGGCAGGGAGTGTTACAATTAAGGTCGATCTTTTGATGTAGCGTGAGTCCTCTTACTGCTTCTAGTTGCTCATTTTGCAGATTAGATTTGCGTTTTAACGAAACCAGCAGTTTCCAACGTTGATAGTTGCCTCTAGGATTGTGTCTATGAAGCTGGTAATGTCACGATTTCCTTGCAAGGTATTTGCAGTCTTAAGTGTGAGTGCACAACGATCTATTGCAATGTAGGAGGAACAAACATTTTACGATGCCAGATCTAGGTTATTCGCAGAAAGGAATGACTTTTCAAAGATTTATCGACTTCCTCTGTGAAACCCAGCATCTATAAACAATTGACACGCTTCCAAGGTGTTAGTCAGTGATATGTTTCAACAAAGTATGATGCTCTGATGCTTTGTGCCGCACCCACCTTATTTTAACATCAACAGTACTAGAATGGGACTTACACAGACTGGGAGATGTTCACCCCATCGTAATGTATGGGTATCGTTGGACATTTTAGTACATACTGCTGTTTCTTAGTTCCTGTTGTGCAGGTGCCGTTTCGAGAGCAGGTTGATAAACTGCTCGCAAATCACGAGGGTCAACTCAGTATGAAGATAAAGTTTGATTGCGGTTTTACTCACATGGCAAGTGATGATCATGTGTTTAATATCTTCGCACTCTCCTACACGCTCTGTGCCACATAGCAAGGTTTCACACCGCAGGAATTCCCCTTCTCTTCCCGTGAGAAGGTACAATGCGCCACCCCCTTGAACACAACTTTTTGGGTGTCTCCTTTTATATGACATCATGCAGCCTCTGCTTTGCTACCTATGATCAAGTTGAAATTTTTACGTTCTAGATTGTCCGCGGAGGAATCTGGTGGAGACAATGTACTGGTCTGCACGTGAAACTTTCAACCTCTTCAATGTGCAGATCATGATCCACCCCGTGTACACTGCGGTTGGTTAAAAAGGTTTTCATTTAGGTGACGAAAATTTAATCTAGTACATCCTGAATTTGTTCGTGTTACTGGAAGGTGTTTGATGTAATGCCTACTAGAATTTCAGGAAAACTTTCCTTCTGAACTTTCTCTTGTTTTTGTAAATCGGATGTTTAAAAAGTTAAGGATGGGTTACTTTTATCTCTGGGATTCAGGAAGTCAGCTTCAGTAGCCCACAAGAGGAGACGGGGCTTGTTGTGGATCTGATGTTTCCGGAATTGTTTGCATGTGTATTGCCTCGTCAACGTGCTGCTTCGTTTCGTTTTATTTTTTGTATTTTTTTGTTTTTGTAAAACTAGGGTCCTTCAAGGTAAAGGGAATGTGTTTCTTATCCCTTACCTGTTGGAAACTTTAGCTAACTTTCAGCCACAGAAAATTGTTTCTCTAGTACTTTTTGGAAGTTGACAACCGCTCAATGAACTTGATAGATGTTCAATATTGGCATCACAGTATGTCACTGGCACAGCTAATCATGAATAATACAACGGAGCTCAGCCGGCATTTGGAGGAACAAGACTCTTCCCCTGCGACATGCGCCTGCGAACATTCGTCGATGTATTCTGTTGTTGATTTTGTTCCATTTATAATTACAACCTCAGTCTAGTTCAAGTCTAGTTCAAGCCATATTTATATCTTCTGTTCAGTTCATGTTTCCAAGTGAGTTAGTGTTTATGGCTTTATTTGCTTTATGAGTCTGAATTCCATTTAATCGCCACAAAACAAGTGATGAAGTCTAATGCCTGGACATGTGAAAAGGGCTTCATCCTGTTTAGAACCAGCCTGTGTATTGTCCTCTGGAGCCCAAGCAAAACCTTGTTGTGAAGTATGGAATGACTCCGGAATGCAGTTGTAGACCTCTATTTTGAAACATCTCCCTATAGTGAGACAAGATTTCCACAAACTTGCCGAAGACTTTAGGTTCCTTTCATGATTCTTCCGTTTGTATGAGTACTGGTTCCTTGCAATCAATACTTGCTGACTCAGCCCACACTCGCAAGCTCTATTCTCTTTCCTCCATGGGACGCCCACTGTTTTCACTGGGAATTTTTACATCGGTCCAGTAGATTTCTGCTCCTCTGCACGCTCAAATCCTGGTTGCGAACGCATTGATAGGTCCACAGTCCGAGGGCTTTACACGGATGCATCTCACCATTCTTCTGATCATGGCAGCCGCAGCATGTGTCGCCTTCCCTCGTGAACAGTGACTCCAGCACCTCATCCACGTAAGATTCTTTCCTTCTGTGAGCTGTGCAGTCTGCGAAGCATATCTCCGAAAAGGAAGTCATTTTCCTCTTTTGGATGCACCCATGACTGTCCGCAGACTCAACATAGTTTGGCACAAGATTCTCGTGGAAGCAAAGATCTCTACCTCATGGACAACTTCACCAAGAAAGGATCCTTGCTCTGCATTCACTTCAGTAATCTGCAAAGTCGTGTCAATTCTCGTGGCGGTTTCCATGAACGATTTCAAGCACACGTCCTCCGCCATCGAGGACCGACACTTGGACCTTGAGAAGAGCCCAACTAACTAACAACCGCCGCGAACACCGCCCGCGGCAGCCAAACCGTGCGGAGGGATCCCCTGTTGCCAAGCATCACGCATCTCGTCGACGACTTCGGAACCAGCCAGTGTTCGATTCATCGTTCGTTTGTGAATCTCATTCTATCCTTCTATTCGCCGCAGTGGTGAGCATGGATAAGATGTTGTTCATCAACAGTGGCCGAGGAGGCCATCCGTCACCAGACACACGATTCGCCTCGAAATCACAAGTCGCTTCTCGTTCATCGACCGTCGTCTCGCGAGTGATGGTCCCAGCTCTTCTGACATGTCAGAGGTTGAGTTTGAGTGCTTGAGTGGAGCAACACCCTGATAGAAAGAAAGCCCACACTTTTCTAGTGTAGAAAAACTCAATCATGCTGAAAAAAAGTGTAAACATCAGATGGGTTGTGTCACTGTTCAACATATACATGTGTATCTGCAAGAGTTGGACTGTTTGTTTGTATATATATATATATATATATATATGTTTTGTGCTTCAGGTTGATATGTTAACAATTCAGCCAGTCAATGAGGAATCAATACAAAGCTTCTGAACAACAAGTGGATTATAATGCATTTGTAAACTGCAATTAAAAAATTTCCTTGTACGAAACGTCTCTAAACATATTCGTTTACCAACAAAAGTCTCCACATAGACGGTCATAGGTGGAGCGGTCCCGACCGCCGTTTCATCCATCCACTCATCCATCCACTAAACTATACATCGTTCGGTGGCGTTCAAATTCCAAGTCCAGTCTACTGATGATCATTCATCTACACGTATTCCCCCGTCCCTAGACTCTGGAACCAATTTTCCACAGAATGCATCCACCTTGCAGTACATTTCAGTCTTCATCCCTGGATGGGGTCCAGCGTTCATCCATCTGAAGCCCCATGCTCCCCGTCTTCGTTCCTTTGTCGCTGGACTTGTTTCGACGGTTTCCTGCCTGCTCTCTCTCGCTTTGCTTTGCTTGCCCTGGCCACGGAGTCGGACTCTCTCGCGTGCTTAGCTTGCTCCCACTCGGATGCGTCGCGTAGCTTTGAAGATCTTTTCTCTTATGCTGGTAGGGTGGGCGCTAGATGCCCGTAGTACTAGACGGTTTTAGATTTGGTGAGGTGTAGCGATGGCGGAACGTTGTCGAGGCGGGAGCAGGGTTGCCTCTGCGGAGTTCGTTGCGGTGTAAGATAATTTTGAGGTGAGTTGCGATGCGGGACAAGGATTTCTGCTAGATCCTACAATGGAAATTAGCTTCTGATTTTGGATTAGTGTGGAAGAGTTTGAGTAGTTTGGAGACGTGGTTGTGTACTGCGGTGGTTTGGTGAATGTGTCCAGTTGGACATTGACTTTCGCGGGTTAGATGTCTTGACGACGAGGTTTTTACGTAAATATTTGTAAGAATTTGGACAAGTAGCGATAGTTTGTTGCGATGGAATCTACGGGATTACTGTTTGGGCGAGCAAAGAGTTGGCGGTAAGGTCGCGTGTTTTATTTTCTCTGTTTCGGTAGGTGTGATAAGTTGGTGTTAATTGTGGAGTCTGGTGTAACGTGAAGGCAGATGGTGATCTTGAAACGGGAGTGCAGATGATGGCAGCCATGACGGAGACAGTCGGGGACAGGAAGTTATCGGACGGGCGTGCTCCTTTTTCGGACCATCTTTCCGCTCGAGGTTTCAATGCTGAAACTTCTGACATCCTCGATTGCTCTAAAACACTCGTGCACGATTTACTAAAAGTACAACCCTGCGAAACTCCTAAGGAACAGGTCTGTTGTAGAACTTCAAGAGAGTTTGTTGGATTATTTTCATGTTCCACATGTTTTTCTCTAAATTAAGTAATTCGAAAGGGATATTGTAATTTGGATTACTCATTAAGAGAAGCTGCTTCTTTCCAGTCCATCCTCTATCGACGTGGACGATCTTCACAGTAAATGAGAAATCGAATTGATAGGATTGATAATGTTTTTTTATAAAATTTAAAATTCAACTTTCATTTTTATGGACCGATTGATCGATTGGTCGATTGATGTTGCTTGAATAATTCTTGTAATTTATATAAACTAAAAATAGAAATTGGAATTCTGTTGTGCAGGACATGTCTGCAATGCAAACTTGTATAGCAGCTGCTGATAGTATAGGGATGAAGACATTACAACACATTGTGGAGTCTCTCGAAACCAGACTACAGAGTGCATTGATGCACGCGGTAATGCAAGTTTTGGAGCCTTTGGGAAAGGAAGCGGCTGCTCGAGTGGTTATGGCTGAACGCAAGGCAAAAATTATGGAGCAGGAGCATATCAACACTAAGCAGCAGGCTCTTGCGATGATGCTTCGTATCAAGCACAGTTCGGACTTTATGGTCTCTTGCTCTTCCTTCATGCTTTCGAATAGCTTAAGCTCCTCGTAGCTTCTCTACACGTTGTTCGCTTTTCATATATAAGTTTGTGTTTCTTGTTTGATTTAAGGCTAAACAGCTGATGCTTGAGTCCTTAGATGCAGATTATAGCAGTCTTATGATGTAGGAAATCGTTGTAGAAAAGCACCACCTTATAATGACTTAAAGATGTTCTATAGTGGTGGCTCAATTATCAATATAAATTTTGACGTAATTTTTAAGTAGCTTGACGATATTTTTGAAGAGTAGTTTATTTGATAAAAAAATTCCATCGTTAATGCAGGTTTTGATTTTCATGCATGAAGTATCGAGTAGTGTTCGACAAGCGCCATGCTAAAAAAATGATAGCATTTCTTTTAAGTCTGCACGATATCTTGGAGAACTTGATGTCATATGATTTCCGTGTTTGCAGCTTGTTGATGCCGAGAAGAGATTGCGCTTAGAACAAAGACGCTCGCAAGAGCTAGATGCTAAAGTTTGCAACTTGCAAGACAAAATTAGACGATTGCAAGTGGAGTTGAAGAGAAAGGGGGACTTTTTGGAGGAGATGCAGAAACAATCCCAATTAGATCCTGGGGTTAGATCAGGGATGACAAGTCCTTGCGAAGGTATTCTCAAGAAGCGGAAAGGAAGTCCTTCAGTCAGGCCTATTGAAGTGAAATTTGTTCAAAGATGTGATGAATTTTTAGAGGACGAGTGTAACGATACTGCAACCGTTTTGACTCCTCATACCGATGAGCCTAATTCAGTTCTTGGTAGGGGTCTAGTTCAATTCACCCCTCAGAACTTGTCTGTTCAAGAATCTTCTCGGGCTGCTTTAACGGATAACAGGCAAGGACCTCCAGCATCGCTGCTAAAACATTTAGGTGATGGAAGTGCACCAAGGTTATCTGACAAGGAGATCAACTCTTTAGCTGCTAGTACTGCGGAGCAAAATAACACCTTAGCTGGATCAAAAAGCACTGGCGAAAAATCAGATGTCGAGGAAGATTTAGACTCAAATGACCAACATGAGAGTAGATCACAAGGGCTATTTCAAACTGCTGATAAGAAGGCTCTAAGTACACATGCTTCTTCAGCTAACAAGGAAGACGTGGAGGTTAATGATGATGGCTTTCAAAGACTCATCGCTTTGCAAGGAGTTGCATCAATGGACATGCCTGATTTGCAAAATGGTGACAGCATTTCAGGTATCCGTCATAAAAATCTTGAATCATGGTATTCTCGAAAAATGTGTTGAATTTTTGGTTTCACGTTCAATTTATAGCAAGAAAGGTTATTCACATGCATGTAAGCTGGTTGCAGGACTGAAGTTGGAGGTAGGAGCTGAAGCTGATGCCGACAATGATTCTTCGACTGATGACGAGGAGGAATGTCAATTCAAGCAGAGAAATGCGAGTCGTAATGCGCAACCTAAATCTCCAGTGGTTACTGGGCTTCATGACGTGGTTCCAGGGACTACCAATGAAATAGCATCAAAAAGTAGTCTAGTTGAACAGGCAGTGGTGCTCAGACGTTGCTCCACAGGGAGGAGGGGTAAACAGCAATTTTCTCCTGAGAAACTAGGGGCTCTTTTGCTGAAAGAAAAAGAAGAGAAAGCATCTGGCTACAGTAAAGGTGCAGAAAGTAATGCATTGGCAAAGTCGAAAGGCGGTTCAGTGGATGGCTCTAGCAATTTATTGATGGAATCATCACGAGACAGCAGAAGACTGATGCAGGGTGCCCGCCAGGTATATACAAATTTAATCATATTGCAACTTCTTCAAGAACTCGCAACACAGCAATAGTACCTAGTCTGTCACTCATGGCCGATGGGTTAATCTTGTACATTATCTGACAAGTGATGTGTCGTGTACTTTTAGTTGAAATTGGAGAAATTATATAATGGACATTGTATTTGAGATGCGAACTTGTGTGAAACATGTATATAGTGGATAAGGACCTTTCTATCCGAGAGTTGGTTTTCGTTCATATTGGTTAACTAACCAAGTATTTTATTTTCTTGCAGCTACTATCTCTGCGGAAACTTTGAAATCTTTGGAGAGGAGCTTACATATTGCCAGTGGCAATTTTGAGCGTTGATGATTAGAAGAATGATAATGAGCTTTGTGAATATACGAATTGTACATCTTCAGTTTCTTATTCTCTACATAACTTTCAAATTTGCCTCTGGTTCAGCCTCCACTGCAGTACACAGGAGATTCTTAGGACGTATTGTCTGTGCAGTATAACTTAGTACTACAATAAATTTACGACAGATTGCGGGAGTCAGCAATTGTCATGCTTCGAGAAGTTTGTGAATATTCTTGCATTTTAGTGGTGTTCTTTTGGTCTAAAACCATCATATTTGGAATTAGACGATGTGGACAACGAAGTTGTTATTTGTAAGACGGTATTTGGTATTAATTGGATGTGCAGTTTGCGGTACTGGAACAGCACACTTGAACAGAGGTGAACTGAAGGTTAACATGAGCCGACTATTCAGATCTTCGATTAGTATGATGATGGATTTCTTATGCAATAAAAGTTATTAGAAGGAAACAGAGGTGAGGTGATGATGTATTTAATACAAATCAAGTATTAATGAGATAACTCTTCATTGAGTTAAAGGATATTAGAGTGTTTGGATGTGATTTTGTTTCTTTGTTTTAATATGAGATTTGTAAACTATTCCAGTGATTGTAAGAAATAGTTAGAAATGGGTATGATCAAAAATAATTTGTTTAGGAAGTTGGATTTTAAACAATCTACTAAAGTGATATTACTTTCTAAATTAATATGTTGAAATCTTATCATTGTAGGATTAGTAATGGAGTTAATTTGAATAATATAAATCGCAATAAAAATATTGTTCAATTTCATGTTCTTTTCTTTACAAAAAACTTAACAACCGAAGGTTGACTTTATGTTAACAAAATGTTTTGAAACAATAGAGATTGAAATAAGTGATAAGTTGTGATTGGTTTGTTCATGTTTTGAAGTGTGTATTGATGTTTTTTTTGAGGTTTTGAATTTAAATTTTATAATTTTACTAAAATTAAAAGTGTATCAGATTAAAAATTAACAATTACATAAGCAATTTAGAAAAAAACAATTCCTACTCACTAATAACAATGTTAATGATTTACTTTACCTAAAAATAAAACGTGGAATTGATTCTAAAATTTTTAATTTAGATTTTAGATTTTCGATTTTAGATTTTTTTTTTTTTTTTTTTTTTTTTTTTTTCTGTCGTTTTAATTTCACACAATTTTTTGAATAAATTTTGAGGTTAATATTATACATATATTTTGTCCTTGCAATGTTTTTGTAGATTTTATTTTGATTAAATGCAATACAATTCTAATTAAAATTAATCTTATATCCATCTATATAATATTATTCTTGTATACATCTTATAAAGTTATATATGAAGAAAAACTACACTTAAAGATAATTTTATAATTATGAATCACTTATAGTTTGGTATTTATTAAAATAATTATAATCCTAATTTTAATTTGGTTAACTAAAATGTAATATTTTTACCAAAGATATTTAGAATTTAGAATTTAAATAATAATTATTTCAGTTTTTTATGTAATATTTTTTTATATAATATAATCGTTTTTTCCTAAATGTTGAATAATTTTTGTATAAGCTAAAATATTCAAATTAATCCCTATATTTTATACATTGGATTTGAAGACGCCAAAGCACTTATATATTTAGTATCTAAAATCTTTAATAACATACACTTTAATTTTTCATTTATATATTCATATGTATCTTTATTTAATTTAATTTAATTTTTTTTACTTAGTAAGTTATATATATGTATATTGAAATTTTAATAACATAAGAGAAATCATATAAATAATAAACATTTATATATTTGACATAGTATTTTTTCTCTTTTAAAAAGTGTTCATACAAATTTTTTAGTTTTAAAATATATAAGTCAAAAATTAAAATTCTAAAAAAATAAAGTAATGGGGTGACTAAATTTTAAAGAAAGACAAAAGAATACTAATAAAAAAATATTAAATATAAAAAAAAATTACAAATTACATTTCAATGCAGAATGGATTTCAAACCACAAAAGAAATCAATAAGATTTACGAAAATATCTTATTATTTTGGTATATACAATAATTATAAGACTTAAAACTTTTTTTTTTTTGCTTTTATGAACTTGTTGCAAATACTACTAGATTTCTGTTATTTTATTATAAAAATTAAGCTTTTCAGTACATTCTACTAACAACTAAGCTTTGTAAGAAATTCTCATATACTTTTTCTAATAGAGATTTGAAGGCAATGTTCTTAATATTACACTTTGAGTAAATAACAAAAAATAATAATAATGTTTTAGAAAAATCAAGGAGATTTTAAGATTTTTTTTTGGAAGATTTCAATAATTAGAATAATTTTATTATTTTGACGAATTTTTCTCTATGAATGGTTTTATTATTAGATAGTAATTTACTATCTTTTTTTAATCTTAATTTTTTTAAAATTGCATGCATATCTTAAAATATTTGCAAAGTATCTACTTTTTGATCAAGACCAAGATGATTTATAATTTCTTTAAGCCAATGATATTGTTCAATTCTAAGGTTTTACAACTATTATAGTGGAACTTTGATATTATCCTGATTATTACTTTATAACATGAATTGAAGCTTATTTTTCCCAATTCATTTTTATAAATATTCCAATTTCATCTAAAAGTATAAAACCTTAGAAATTAAATACTAAAACTCATTGAAATATATCAAGTAAATATAATCTTGGCACCATTTAACACATAATGCACAAAAAGGAAATAGTCATTTATTTTATTTTAAGATGCATTGAGTAAGATATGGACTAAAAAATATCTGATCCTCTAACAACAAATAATCTATATAAAAGCATTAAATTTTTTTGAAATTTTCTAAATAACCTAGAATCAATTTAGAATCAATAAAGACATTAGAAAGACACTTGGAATTATTATAGAAAATATTAAATATATATATATATATATATATGAAAATATTTTTTTGTTATAAAATTCATGAACATAAATTGTAACAATAATGATTGTTTATTTTTAAGGATTAACAAAAAAATATTAAAAATAGTCATGGTTAAGATAAATATTTATATTGATTCTTTTTCTCTACATATTTTTTATAATTTGAATTTTAAACCAAGTTTCTGAATATTATAATTTTTTAGGTAATGATTATTATTAAGAATTTTTTGAGATAAATAAATTTATATATATGTATATATATATATATATATATATATATATATAATTTTAAAATATTTATTTGAGATAAAAAATACCATATATTACATGTGTAATTTTACAAAATAAATTTTAAGTAAGAAAAATATTTTATATGTCAAGTATTATTTAATAAATACTAAATAATAAATGAATTAGAATACTTGTAATAAAAAGATAATAATTTTTTTCTTTTTTTCTTTTTTTCTTTTCAAATAAATTATGAATTCTATAGTCGATGAGGTTTTTGATAACTATAACTATCGACTTAAACATATACATAAATACTAAAAATTGACCTTTAAATTGAAGATTACATTTTAAAAACTTTAATATAGATCTTTAATTTAGTTAGAAAGATGTATTTATTTTGGTATATCTTAAAAGCTTATTAAAAATAATTACAAGTATTAAGTTTTTTAAATAATTTATTTTTGAATCTTAGAGCTTAAAAATCTTCTAGTATTCTGGGGATTTATTAGCACTGCATTGTTTTAATTTAAATTATTGATTTTTTTATGATTATTCTATGCTTTATATGTATTTTTTGGAGGAAACTCTATGCATTATTGTGTAAAATTAATTTTTCATAACTATTTGTGAACTAAGTTAAATATTGCTTAATTATATCTCTTTAGTTTTATAAAAAATTTAATATTTAATATAATATTTAAAATTTGTTGTAATTTTAAAACTACTTGTCATTGCTTTAAATTATCATTATATGAACTATGCATTATTTTATGAATAATTAAATTCATATGAGGCTAATATTTCTTTTATGAATTAAAGAACTAATAAATTATTTTCTTGTTTGGGGATTAACTCTTAATAAAAATAGAAATCAATTTCATTGTGACAAAAAGATTGGTTCATGGTAGCATTATTATCATTTTATCTTATTTAAATAAGTTGTGTGTGTGTATATTTATAAATTTTTTTAAAAAATTAACTTTGTATTAAATTAAAATATAGCTTCTTTTTTTTTTGGTAAATTGTATATGTTTTTAAAATCACTGTACACTTACACACATACACACATACAAGCATGACATTTTGAAGTTACACATTTAATATAACAACGCTTTAAAATAAACCAAGCAAGTTTCGAAAGTTATTAAAGCATGATTTCTACACTATTTTATAAGCATCAGACAAGGGAGAGAAGTCAAGGAAGTTTTCTTTGTGAAAAGATATGGTCCAATCTGTTTAAAAGGGACTTTGAATCCATCGTCAACCCCCTTCACAAAATGTAAGAAATGTTTTACTTGAATGAGCAAATGGTAAATGTAAGAAGCTTACTTTTATCATTTCACTTGAATCTATCCTTTGAAACAGACGCCTCTTTAATACATCAACTAATGCAGCATTACCAAATGATTCCTTAATATGGCTCCTAATGTTAAATGACTTGAAAATAGAGTGAATCAATGAAAGCATTCATGAACATAATAAGCAAAGTGCCCTCGCAGTTGGTATCACATTCGATTTCTGGGGGACATGCTGCAAAATTCCTGCTTTTTTGTCTGGATCGAAGCTGCTATCACGATTACATCACACACACACGCACACCAGGAGGCCCTGATGCCGACATTGATCAGTATCGACAAGAATGTGATGTCCAATGTAGACGGTGCCGATCGGCGACGAGGTTCCAGATCCACAGATCGACGAGAAGGCCCGCGCATCGCATTCCAGCACATCGAGCAAGGATGCATGCAGGCAGGCATGCTACCTTTTTCCCACCCAGCAGCACAATTCAGTCGCAGGGCTGCTGGCGGCAGGGACCCTACAAGCGTGTTTCCAACTGGGCTAGGAACGGGCCGCCTACGCAAGACACCAGTGGAGTTCTAGGAGAGGCCGCCGTTGGTGCGGTGGTGGCCACCGTGAACACCAACATCTAGCCGTAGCATGCAGAGTTCAGGTGAGAGAGACCGAGAGAGAGAGAGAGAGATCCTGGAGCGAGAACGACCCAGCGCGGCGGCAGATCGTCGACACTTCTCATCAGAGATTGGGGGAGGGGAGCTCTCTTCCAGCAATGGCACTATGGTCCTCTTTCACGGTGACACTTGCCGCAGCTCCTGTGTTTCGCGTGTTTCGGTGAGAGCATTGCTGTTGTGTCGCTCCGTCCGCAACCCGGCGCCTGTGTGGCCCCACTCTCTGCCATGGTGTTACTTTGATCCTTCGAGACTTTACTCTTTCCATGTCGTCAACTTCGATCATTCATGTGACGGCCTGTGACGATTTGTCTCCGAGGTCAAGCTTGATGTGTGGAGCTTGCATAGCAGATCACCTCTGGACACTGGCAGTAGTTTTAGTGGCATTTTTAGCAGCAGTTTGTGTGCTTTGCTCGGAACTCCAGTCTTGAGGGCATGAAGTATCAATTCCCTCTCTAATATCTTGTTCTAATTCGATTGGAGAAATTTTGGGTTGCTGTTTGGTATGGAGGTAATTGCAGTTCTTGTGGGATAATCTTCTTTGATTGAGCAGAAATAAGCACATTTAGGAGAATAAGGAAACAATTTGTTTTAGAAGTTTTTTTTTTTTTTTTTTTTTTTTTTTTCTGAAGTGATTAACAAAGTTGGCAGAGAATATTTGCATGTTTGATTGGAAGTACAAAGAAGAAGTTTGAAACAATATTGGTATTCTCTTATTGTTGAGAGATTGTAGGGCGTGTAAAGAAGCCCATCATCAAGCAATGGAGAGTCTATGTAGCAAAAATCACTTTCATTGTAACGATATTGTAACACAATATTTTTATAAAATTATTTAGCACTCAAATATGTATATAAAAAAGAAAAATTCCAACTTAATAGAATAACTTCAGAATCTCAATCACAAAATAAAAATTTATTCACAAGGATAACATTTGTGTCACTCTTTAACTAAAAAACTCAACCAAATTTTAAAATATATATATATATATATATATATAAAAAACAAAACAAAATCCATATAACCATCCATTGATAATTCCCTCAATCCACTTGTAAACCAATCATCATCATCATCTTCAAATGATAATTCCCCTCAATCCACTTGTAAACCAATCATCATCATCATCTTCAAATGAGAAAACCCCATGAACCAAGTCCATCATAAATAAATTCCACCTTTCATCTTGCTCTTTTTATTAATCTAGAACAACACCATCATCAAAAGGCCAACACAATTCCCACGTAACCACCATTGGAAAGACCCCAAAAAAATACCCTAAAAAAGAGCAAAAAATAAGGAGAAAAAGGCAGTTCCAACAGTAAAAAATAACAGGGAAAGAGCCAAGGAAAAGGAGCAAAGGAAACAGGAAAGTGAAGGAAAGGAGAAGCAGAAGCAGACGAAGAAGAAGAGCAACAGAGAGGGACGCGCGCACCTTCTCGACGGAAGCCACCGCGAGAGCTCCAAAAGCAAAAGCAAAAGCGCGTAAGAAAGAAAGAGAGAGTCGCAGCAGCAGCACTGGCAGGATCCGATTAGTATCAAGAGTGCAAAAGTTAACTAAGTTACACCAGCTGCAGCACCCAGCTGCTGGTGTTGCCGCCGCGAGGAGTTGTGGCAGTGGACTCATTGACTGATTGACTGCAACGAGGGGTGGTGGTGGTGGTGACCAACCAACAGCCATTGTCTGGAAGGGCTAGATTTGCTCCACCCCACCGGATTCTCATCCTCGGTTCATCATCATCATCATCCTCCACAAGAAGCCCTGCAGTTAGCCACGTCCTGGGATTGGTCGTTCTCCTTGCAACTAATGGAGCTGCTGTTTCTAGTGCTATCCTCTTTGTGGGACCGTCTCGCCGTCGGGGGAAACCCAACCTCCTCCTCCAGTTGGGTCGATAACGTCATCGCTGCCGTTGGATGTTTTCTGTTTTTTTTCTTCATTTGTGCGGGTTGTGGTGATCGGGTTCAGTCCCCCTACAGCTCTGGTCAATTGACTGGTAGAGGTTGCATCTGCTTTTCGGTTTGTGGGTTGGAGATTGGTGTAGGTTTTTTTCTGTCCAGTTTCCTCGCACCGTGGGTGTGGGGTTTTGGAATTTCGTTGCAAGGCTTCATGTTTTGGTGTCAGTGTTAGCTAAAAAGTTCATTGGGGCGTGGTGTGTGTCATTACTGGACAATTGGCAGCATTCGTTTCTGTGGTGATTGAGCGTGAGTTCCCGGCGCTTGCCAACTGTATTGTCTAGCCTAGAGTGACCACCAGCGCTTGTGGAAAGCGAAATGTGAAAAAGCCACAGACAGTGCGAGCTCGAGGAAAGAGAGCAAGAGAGCGAATGTGGGGGGGGGGGGGAAAGGGCACTGGTGCAGAGTCTGTGTCTTTTTTAAGTCTCGAGGTTTTCAGCTGTCATTGTGTGGTCGCAAGTGAGTGGTCGAGCAATTGTCGAATAGGTGGGCTGTGGCGACGTGTTGAGTACTTGCGCTTCTTCTTGACATTTGAATCTTGTACAAGTGCGGAGTAGTCTGTTGCTCGGGTCAATGGCGAAGAACTCTGCTGGTTACTGTATGATGGAGATTTAGAATGTGTCCCTTGGCTTAGATGGACCCTTGACAGCTATTTTCTTTTCCTCAGTAGACTGCGGATGTTTGATATATTTCCCCTTGGAAGTCTGTGGGCTGCGCCTGCGGTTTTGACCTGAGCATTTCGACCGACACTTGAGTTACCTGCAAAGGTTGGTTGAAGCATTGGTTCGGTGCCAGGATGATGGCAGACCGTGTTGCTACTCTGCAGGGTGTTGTAAGTAGGAATTATCGTCCGTGCTTCAATGTAGCACACTCATGTAGCCTTCGCAATACTTCAGGCACTCTTTTATATAATCCCCTGGGCTGCAATCCGAGGACTAGTAAGTTGCTTTTGGTCAAGGTTAAAGTCGGACCACTAGAATTGTATAGGAATGTCGAGAAGCCGAGAGGGCCCAGATGTGCCGCCGCTAGTGACTCCTCACCAGACCCAACCCAAAGTTCGACTGCAGCAGAAGAGGTCCATGACAATCTCGTAGAGGAGAAGCGCAATGCTAAGAATCCTGTGATTTCAGCCATTCGATTCGCGGCGTCGCTGGTTTCTGTTGTCGGCAAGAATGATTCGGGTGACGCTGAACAGAAAGAGAAGAAGAAAAGGAACAGGAAGGGAGAAAGAACAGTGTATTTGCTCGCAGCCATTTTTTCCAGTATTGGTTTCACCGCACTGACTGCTGGTGCCGTGTACTACCGATTCCTTTGGCAAATGCAGGTGTGCATCTCTCTGGTCGGAACTGTTGGTTTTCACACATTCTTCCGGGACTGTCGAGCAAGGTTGTTCAGGGCTAGTCTGCTGTATCTGGTCAAGGTTCTCTTATTCATTCTTTGTGTACGAAGAGCCCTATTGCGCAATTTCTCGAGCTCTAGTGTCTACTGAGCAAGGCGAAAAGGATTGTGTGTTTGTAACTGTCTTACAGAAACCGAGATTATTGTCCGAGTGGTACATTTCCTTAGTTTTATATTGTTCTTTCACTGGCTCGTCATCGGTAATGAGGAACTCGTTGTAATCTATTCCTTGGATGTGCAGGGTGCATCACAGGTGCCCTACTTGGAAATACTTGGGACATTCTCGTTGGCCATCGGTGCTGCGGTAAGAGATGTGATTGAAAGTGCTTTTGATTTGAAGGTTGTTTTGTTGTTACTATCTCCTCGCGTCTTACCGGTCGAAGCATGGGGATCGACGTTTAAGATTCTAAGCCACATTGAAGACAGATCCCTATTCACAGCTGTTAAGTCTTGTACAAGTTTCAAGCCTTGCATTTGAGACCATCTTTCATGACCTATCGTTTACTGATGGGTCTGTTCTGTTGTAATTGTCAGGTGGGTATGGAGTATTGGGCGCGGTGGGCACACAAAGCGCTCTGGCACGCCTCACTTTGGAACATGCATGAGGTGATCGAAATGGCTGACACTGAACTTCTTTGAGCGTGAAGATACCTAAATGTTCATTTTTAACTTTATATAAACTTTTCATACCGTCTGCGCTTCAGAATTCCCGACTAAACTCGTGATACTGTGCTATCCAGTCCCATCACAAACCACGAGAAGGTCCTTTCGAATTGAACGACGTTTTCGCGATCATCAATGCCGTTCCAGCCATTGCGCTCATGGCCTACGGCTTTTTCCATCGTGGGATTGTTCCAGGGCTTTTCTTCGGAGCTGTAAGAAACTCTCAATATTTGTAGTGATTTTCATACCTGTTGAGATAAAGTCAGCATGCACGCATGTCGTTAGCTTTGAAAGCATGTTGAGCGTCCTTTGCTCGATTGCCTATCTGAACATCTTCTCACCTCAAGAGGAGCTTCTGATTCACGGAAATATTAGTGATTGCTGCAGGGCCTTGGGATTACAATATTCGGTATGGCTTACATGTTTGTTCACGATGGATTAGTTCACCGAAGATTCCCCGTGGGACCTATTGCAGACGTTCCATATCTTCAAAAGGTTGCAGCTGCTCATCAGGTATTTTCTGCAATTCTCTGAAAGTTTCTTATTCCTCGTGTTCTAAGAATACAACGGGTCAACATGCTCTATATTCATCGTAGAAACCATTATGTTTGCGTAGTCTATCTTGCGCTGACCGTGCTTTTTGCTCGCCTTTCAGCTTCACCACGCAGATCTCTTCGGTGGTGTACCATATGGACTTTTCCTCGGTCCTCAGGTAATTATACCAGTACCTAGATCCTTGAATTTTCATATGTGTGAGTTTGCTTCTTTTTTTCTTTTTTTCTTTTTCTTTTGTTTTAATTTTATTTGCGGACATCTTACGTTAATCCATACTTATGCTGGAGTTTATACGCATGTTCACCCAGGAACTTGAGAATGTTGGAGGCGAGGAAGAGCTTCAGAAGGTACTGATCGCAAAGTACAAAGTTCGCAAAGCATGATCAGCGACAATGAGGGTGTAAATTTTTTTTGACGGCATTCATCAGAGTTTTCCTATCCAATTTTTGAAGTCCCCGGCGAAGGGAACATGTTGTATACAAGCAACCAGACAGCGAAGAGTAGTGTGGTATAAGCCAAATCGTTTGTATAAGGGGTAGCATTGTTCACTCTGAAAGATAGTGGCACCGGTTCTATTCTCCTCACGATTGATACGGCAAGACTTGGAGAGTTGTAGACTGTGCAGCCGTAAGAGAAGATGTAAATCATCGCAGTGTAACATAGATCATTGAAATGGTTGAAGGTTAGCCAAGTTCTGCAATTGCTAAAGCTGAACTTTTTCTTCAAAATAGGTTGTACTATGGGTTCTTGTGTTGTAAAGTCGAACACGTCTGATTGCTGAGTCTTGTGGCTTAAATTTGATGGTACAACTTTCGGTAGCTGTCATCACGATGGGCGTGGGTGAAAAAAGCTTTCACACTCGCCACACCTGGTGAAAGGAATATTGGTTTCGCATAGTTTTAACGGTGTAACACCGAACACTTTTGTTCTCTACATTTTTTCTTGTCATTCTAGAGTTAGTACAAATATTGCTGTAGGAAGATTTTCAATGCCACAGTGGCTTTGCATGCAAGTGACTTGGACTGATGTTTTCATTCTGGAATTCCTTGTAACAAACGTGGGTTCGCATTCATTTTGAACCGTTTTCTCTAGTGAACATTTCGAATCTGCGCCTCGCCCTCTTCATTTCACTTTTTTGCTTGCTCGAACATGGGTACACCCTGTCTAAACTCTTCTGCTGTTGGCTATGTTTTTGAAATGCCCACGCGATCTATATCGGTTGGTGTAAGAATCCCTTGATAATGGTTGTCAGTGATATTGTAAGGAACTTAAATTGAAACAGGAAGTAATGTAGGTAGGTTCGAAGTTGAGATAAAGAAAAGTACTTCTGAACAGGAGGTTTGATAAGTAGAAAATAATGGAAACTGAAGGAATGGAGAGTTATATTGCAGCAGGCTTGAACAACAAAGGAAAGGGTACGAGGAATATAGGAATTTAGGTCGTGTCAGAGAAGTAGAGGAGCGTTGCGAATCGATTATCAGGTTGAGAAGTGTAAATACTTCACTGATGTTGGAGTTTGCACCTTCCATTGTTGTCTCTCGATTGCTCCTTTGCTTGTATGAGCAAGAAGGATAATTCTAAGGATCTAGTTCGAAGTTTAAACTTGACTTGTAGTTCATTTCATCGTGAACCTTGCAGTAGGGGTTATGCGAAGGGGGAAACAATAGCATCAGTAAGCACCATGTGTTAAGGGGCTGCTGGGAATAGCCGTGCTCTCCACCCAAGTAAGCGTTTCGAAGTACCGATCCCACGGACTCAACGAGTGGCAGAATGACCAATTCCCTCACCTTCGCACTGTTAAAGCAAGTATGAAATGCTGGACAGAGCGTCTGCTTGTTGGCAAGTACAACCTCTACGTGGGCGTGTTGTATGCACCAATTTATATCCCGAGCCACAGGGACCTATAAATATTATATCACTATGACCCTGGTTCCGATCCTTGTGCAGCTTTTCACTTCCGTCATTGCCGTTTTCTTAAAACTCTTGTAACATTGAACCTAATGTCATCTTTCTCTGTTTCATCCTACATTAGGATGTCTAAATGGAAAATCGTTCCCTTCTTCATTGGTTGATGACATTTGTTGTGCAGACTCTCAAGGAGGTGAGGTTTTGCGGGGAAGGTATCCGCTGACACAGGAGGAACAGATACTGCGTCTAAAAACTGAGACTCTTGAGAGTTAAATAACTAGACTACTGTAATTTGATGTTAAACATTGCTGTGGTCCAAGTTATGCTTTCCGCAACTATGCCCTCATTTACTTTTAGAATGCTGATGATGTTGAGCTTGACTTGGTTCACCTGTTGGGTTTCATGTGCTCTTTCTTTTTGGAAACACAGACTGGGCTGCAGCAGTGCGGAGCTCGCAGTGAAAGTCTAATTCGAGCAAGAAGAAAAAACGCAAGTGCTTGCAGATGCTATTTTCCGGTTGGTGCATTCTTGTCGTGATGGAAGGTCTGAAGCTAGCCAGTAGTTGCATTGTCTTGACTTGACAAGCGTTTTGGTGGAAAGAATTAAGTCATAACTTCAACTTGCAGGATGTGCAATTGTAAGTTCAGAGACCGTGGATGCCGTTCCACGTCCGGATACAGGCAATTGTGATTCTTTTCTCTACTTCAGCAGTGCCTGTACAATGCATTATGCTTTCTGCAAAACTTTTCTTACGAACATAATCATGTCCCCCCAGATTACCACCTTTTTAACTGCAATAGGAAGATGGTTAGCTTCTTCCTGATTCAAGAGGTCCTTTCAGAGCTGCAGGTTCGTGTCAAGGTATGTACAAATCCGAAAATTTCATATTCAATATGTGGTTGTTAGAGCAAAAAGGTGATGAATCACGTAGTACACGAGTCACAGGTGACAAATTCTGGTGAGCAATGTTCCAAGGGGTTTCTAGGGGTACATTCGGTGGTAATAGGTAGACTTTGAGAATCATTGGTCAAGCAGTTTTAGTTTCTAATCACTTTGTAATTAACTCAGTGGGGTTTAATTTGCACTCAACAAGCGATGCTTTAAGCTTCTAGATTTCTAATGAGATATGCATTTTCTTAAGATAACATACTCTCTAGAATTGAAATCAATCACTAACTCTGACCCAGATCAGCCGCTAGTGAGTATGTGCCCTTGGTTAATATTTGATTCAGAAAAATGAGTTCTTTCCTCTGCAGCCGAAACTTCAGGAGGCACGTTCAACATTTTGCTGATTCCAGTATTAGTACCAGGTGTTAAATTGTTTACGCTTAGGCTTATAAAATGCCAAGCTCATTACTGTTAAGATCGCCTAAACGCTAAGATTTTATTGAAGCAAAAGACCCAAAGATATCGATGCAAAATAACTCACCCAAATTCTTCGGTCCACACTGAAGCAAGCTGTGGTGTGTTCCATGGGCACGTAGATCATTCACATGTGTTGTTTATAGAAGTGATCTGTAGCGAAGAAATGACCATCAGTGCAAGCATATTGATGGTCATTTCTTCGCTACGGATTACTTCTATAAACAACACCACCAATATCAATGATGCCGGAAAAAATCAGGGGTTAGGTCTCAATGCCCGTTTGATCTAGAACTAAATGCGAAGTCTCAATGACGGCCTCAAACAGTTCGACAATCAGCAGTCTGAGCTTAAAAAATGTGGCAGAAGTGAAAGCCAATTCAGCTAATCGTTCTACAACCTCACCTCAGCAACTCACCGTAACTCTGTCCTGGTGATGGCGATCCTGATTTCAAATGCGTACCAATGAAAGGTAAGAAGAAGAGCGCAGCTATGGCCAGACGATCAACAATGAGTGCAACGCATACTGCCTGGAAGTGGTTCAATTAATCTTACTCGTGAAAAGAGCTCTTCATATCGTCGCTAATGTAGACTGCATATTGTCATAGAGTAACCTAAAATCATTATAGTCATGTCAACACTAGTCGGTTTTCACTTCTTTTTCTCCGTGGCACGATCATTTGCAATCGTGGCCTATTCGATCAACAGACTCTTGTTGATTAAAGGAAGATTGATTCTCTTTAGAACATCAACAGGTTAATTTGTAGAAACACAAGTGGTTGTATGGACATTCTTCTCTGGGCACAGGCGTCGAAGAGTCACAGAAATGCGGCTCTTCTGTTCCAGCAACTTTCCTTCCCATGCTTGCTCCTCAGCCTGCTTTCGATTTATCTCGTGTGTCCACTTGTAACGCGCATCGTCCGAGAGCACTATCAAATCCCCAGGCGACAGAAGCACGTCCACCTTCTCCGTAAACCTCTCATACTTGCAGAACCGCATCACACAGGACGACAGAAGTGACAACACCACAATGCCATCCTCAAACCGAGCTAGGTCTACATGTGGCCCAATTCCTTCACCTGGTTGATAGAAATTCGCGATCATTTGATCAAATAAAGGCTTCCTGTGAAGAATCTCCTCTGGCAAAGGACCTCTGAACCCTAATTCTTTGTCGGCACCGTCAATCCTTTCCGCAAACCTCGAAATGGAGGAGAAAATTAAAGAAGACAAAGTGACGGCCCAGCCCGGGAGCACTCCAAACCGCATCGCCTGATTATGAGCAGGCTGACTGAACCATCCCTCACGTTTGATTGCCGTCACTAGCCTCTCCTGGTCCACCGAATCGAGAAACTCTTCGCATTTCCACAGACCATTCACTCCAGCAACTGCCCGCCAGCGATGGCACTCACGATACTTTCCTGAATCCAATAATGGCCATCCGAAGTCCTCCCTTTCCAAGTCGAAATCAGAATCAGCAAGATTGTCAGCATTTACCCCCACACCCTCCGCCTCTTCCTCGTCTGAATCCGAATCCGTTCCGAACACCGCGTAAAGCTCCCGAGCCACTTCCGCCATCACTACCGCTCCAGGTACCAAGCTTGAAATGGCCCAGTAAACCTAAAAACAAAAGGGTCCAATTGGAAGATTCTCGACAGAGTTGATCTCTTGAAGAATTTGTTACAAAGAGTATCTCCGACGCGCAACAACTTTCTCCTCGTAGTATTTGAGGCAAAAGTATTGCAGATAGACTAACCATGATAAATTTGAAGTCATGTGATGTGAACCACACCTTTCAAGATGAAGGTTTCGACTGAAGACAAGCACTCGTGACCACCACGCACAAAGCCCTTTCAAAACCCTCAATCGTGTCTTCAGTGGAACCAGGGCACTGTGTCACTACTTCGTTCACTGCGCCTCATGCCGTCATCAACATTCTATCTCAACGAGGCTGCTATGACGCTACATAGCTCAAACTGAGAGAACAGCGGTGGTCACCGACTTTTATCGTTTCTTGTTGTGCTACATTGCAAAATCGTGTTGTGGGAAATTTGAGGATTTTCATAGCTTTTTGTAGAAGGTAGGTGAATAGAACGTGTCATCGGCTGTTCATTGTGTGTGAGATTTGTGGTTGGTAATGGATGGGTGTTACTGTTTATGGATGCAAAGGATGTACCATATACTTGCACTGCAATATTTTCGAGAATTTGAGGCTGTTTCAACTATGCTGCGTAATGGCACAGAGATGGTTACTTCTGATTGACAAAAAGCTCTGTACAATCTTTACAGCTTCTTCGAATGGCTGATTATTAACATGAACGTTTACAAACAAGTTTCGCTGAGGGGGCACCATACTTATTATCCGTAAAGGGCTTCAGCAGGACCCGTTTCGATATGGGCGGGCTGCAGATCCATTCACAACAGCGGGCAAACAAGAGGACCAAAACTTCGTCCTTTGTTTTTATATTATTTTAAACCGCTAACCACTTCACCTCTATGCTGTACAAAGCGTTGAAAAGCAATTGATAGTATCCCTTCAGCTTAGTTCTAGGACAAGCATGACAGTCTTTCCCTGCTTCAAGTAAATAAAGCTCTTATCCTTGTTTTCGGAACTGTCCAGAGTGGACAATGAGCTGCAATTTCGAGACTCCCAATTCAGCGACGATTCCCGAGCAACACCAGCTTCATTGGAACGGTCAGGTCTCACGGACAAGGCAGACGCATCAAACTATGTGTGAATGTGGCCCAGAAATTCCAGTTTTATCATCCGTCTCCGAAGGAAATGGCTCGGGTGTTGGGTTGCGATTCTTCAAGCAAGGTAGCAGGTTCCTGAGCTTTACCCACGTTTCCCTCTCCCGCATCTTGAGCAGAACCACGATGCACATGCCGGCACCAAATCCTAACGCTGCATTGGAATTTGTCAGCGACACAGCTGTGACCGACAGCAGGATGAATACTTCGGTTCGGGTAGATTGATCCCTGCATGTCATGGCTAACTCTAGACCTGAGAATAGTAGCAAAACTCCCAAAAGTGCAACAGGAAAGAATCGGAGAATTTGGACGAGGGATGATCCGAGGAGGAGTGAGAGAAGGAGTTTGGCTGTGCCAAGGAAGACCACAGATGCCCCTGACCGTGCACCGAATCTATACTGGCCAGCCAACCCGCCACAGCCATGGCAGGCTGGCATGGCGCCGAACCAACAGCCTATTACATTCATGAGTCCCACGCTCACCTGTAATGGTTAGTCAACAATCAGCAAAAGAAATGGTTCAGTTGGTGTTGCGTAAAAAATTCAAGCTCATACCGACTCAAGTATATTGCATAAAATCCTGCTGCAAGAAGTCCGGAATTCAGTGCTCGGGTTCAAACAGAATGATGTAATGGTGCTTACCGAGACTTTCACGGGCGTCACCTGCAGCTTCGTCGGGAACAAATCGTTGGAAAGCTTACACACGGCAATGACAGAATTCAACACAGAAAGCGGAAGCTGGGGGATGGTACCCCTTACAAATCCTGTCTTCCAGTCTGATGCAGTGATGCGAACCACCTGTGGCGTACTCGGTCCGAAATTGAGATGCTTAACAATGCTCGGTTGGCGGATAAAGGCAAGGACGACGCCGAGCACGAACACAGACAGGGCGGTTGGAATCAAGAGGAGTTTTCGGCTCCAGCTCCTCTTGCTTCCTCTTTCCTCATTAGGATTGTTACCTTCGTTGGAACTTTCGATTGAATCTTTAGGAAATGCATGAACGGTATACTCACCGGATCCACTGACAAGAATGATAAACGCCAGGGCACAAATGGCGAGAAGCTTGCTGTCGAGGCCGAGCCATGGGCGGGCGCCACCAGTTTTTCCTGTAGAAAATTTTTGCTCGTTGAGAATATACTTCACAGCGGTGATGCCGAATGCCAGACCTTGAGAGAGCTGGATGCCGCGCACTACTGGCAGAGGGACCAGGAAATTGACGAGAGTCATGAGCCCTGTGGCACCCAATCCCACCAGCAAGGCTCCCGTAGAGATGCCGGCTGCCATAATCTGGGGAATGGTGAGTATATCGCCCGGGGTTATAGCCGCGGCTGCAATTGACTTCATAGGCTGCACTGGCAACGGGGTTCCGAACATAAGACCTGCAATCGCATAGCAATTGGAAAATTAGAACAACAGCTGTATTGGGTGAGAAACAAGCCAATGTAAGGATTGCTGTTGAACGAAAATCACTGCACAAAGCCAGAAAAATTTCCGAACTTCTAAATCACAGTGTCACGAGGAAATTTCGATCAGTCTGACCTGTGACGATGTTGCAGATGCCGGTGAAGATGAGGGTAGTGCCGAGGTCAAGCCCGTTGACAAGAGTAAGGGCAATGACGATAGGGACGAACGTGCCCAGGTCGCCCAAGCAGCCATTTACCTCTTCCCACAAGCTCCGGTACCGCACATTTTCCCTGAGTTCCTTAAAGTAAGACTGGATCGGTCCTAAGGGCCTGGCCTCCTGCACTGTTTCCAAAGTCGTCGCCATGGCAATTTAGAACACCTGAAAGTCAGAACTCCTGTCACGCCTTCTCTCGACCTCTCCGATGCCAAGCTCTACACCATGCTCCTGCAATTCGATTCCATTCCTGGGCTGCAGTCGAAGTCGGCAACAATTCACTTCGTCAGAGCTCTACAATGCAATGTAGGACTAGCCATTCCACCACTAAATGCACCCCCGATTCGCTCCACAACTCGCAAGACTACACAGGGACGCAGATACATCTTGTGGTACACAGCCGAAAACAGAGAAACATGAGCTCAGAGGCATCTGGAAACACATGATCGACGTTTCTAAAAGCAAGTTCACTTCAGGTACAAACAACAGGATGACAAGCAAGGGGGATATCCTTCCATCGCACCCAATTACTTCCCGTGCATGACGGGGATTGATCAGGAGGAAAATTCTTTCACCGAGGATGGCGACAAGCAACGCAACAGTCTCAATTAATCGCGCCGAAAATAGAGATGTTAGGACAGAATCGTGGAGTCGAACGGCACTGGGCTGAGAATCGGATGCCATTTAAACGATGCTTTGCGTAGTGGTCGAGGGAGAAGGATGCGGATGCAGTGCCTGGCTTTTCCGCGTCGCGGGAGACGCAGAGCCTAACGCCACGTAAAACAATCGCATCGCGAGATCGGAGGTGGAGCCCCACTAGGGCTTGCTTCGCGACGGGGACCGGGGCCTTCGCCCACACACACCGGTCGCGACACCCACAGGCGCTGGTCGCTTACGCATGCACGTTTTAGGGTTTTAGGGTTTTAGGGTTTTTAGGTCACGCAAATTAAAACAGAAAAAACGTGTTGACAGGCTTCGTGAATCCCCTTATGATATTACTACAATGCACTGAAGGTACAATTCTCGTTGTTGGAATTACTTTTGGCCCTAATCTTAATTTTGGAATTTCATTACACTTGGAATTGGAGATTTACAAAGTTACAGTTTATTATTATGGTGCTGGACCTGAATTCAGGTGGGATTGTTTTTGTTGTGAAAAACATTGGTTTGGTGTTACCCTTCAGAAATGGCACAAGGTAAGCAGAAGTACGAGAGCAACTGCTGGGAGAGGATAAGAGAGACACTTACAGTGCTCGAGCTTGTGCCAAGGATGGTAGAGTACTTAACAACGTAAGCTGGTAGCGGATAGAGTCAACTCATGTTAGAGTAGCACTGGGCCGGAGGCCATGTATTTTGAGTGTATGCAATAAACTAAGTTCATTGGTGTAATTGGTGATTGGTGTAATTGGTGTAAATGCTACTAGTTCTAGTCTCTTTACAAAGCTCTGTCTTGTGCATGCTTGTTATCTGGATAGCTGAAGGAACATTTGGCTATCTTGTAACTCCACCATAATTGATTTTATTTTTAAATTTTCATATTAAATTCTTTAAAACTAAAATTAAAAATTAAAAATAATATGTATTTTGACTTATTGTATTTTGTTTTGATTGGTTTGATATTAAAGTGTTTCTTTCAGAAATATTTCCTTTCAAATTGAAACCAGATTTAATTCACAAACAACTTGTGTTTATTTATTTATATTTATTAATGTGATATTAATCTAACTAGTTTAATTGAATTTAATTTAGCAAATCAAATTCAAGTTAATCAACAAACAAGGTAGGGTAGGTACTTAAAAGAAAATGTAGTTATACAAGAGCTCTTGTGAAAGGATTGTCTTGAAAGGAGAATACCAAAAAATTACAATGTTCATTAATGTAAACCATTTCATCAAAAGAAGATCAATTTTCTTCTCTCATGCATAATTAGCAATGTACCTCTTTTACATTAAAACACAAACTATACAAGGGACGTTGCATGCAACATAATTTTTTGATATACATACATATATATATATATATATATATATCCTCACTATCACTATCAGTTGTTGTTGTTGTTGTTGTTTTTTTTTTTAAAATTTTTTGATTTGAAGATATGATTGCTTCTAGAGAATTGTACGTAGGTGCATTTATATAGAGTAAAAATTACAAAGAAGGGCTATGATAGGCTAATAAGACTTTAAATACACAATTCATCAAATCTTAGTTCTTTCAAGTTAGTACTTTTAGCATATTTTGTATAAGATTTTGACCTTTGAATAAGATCCTATATCTTTTACCTTTTTTTATCTCAATTTATAGAAACAAAAAAATTCCTATTATTATTATTAACAACCATGGTCTTTCAAGAACATGTAATGTATTTTAAATGTTAAATGATTTTTTAAATTTTGAACAGAACTATTTAAATATTTTTTTTTGGTCTTTCTAATTTTCTAAACAACTTAAGCATATTCACCAACCTAATTTCTTTCATATTATATTATATTTTATTTACTTATTAAAAATATATACAACAATTTTTATTTTGAAAATGATCATTCAATTTGAATTTTGATGCACATTATAGCCATTCAATCACATCTACCATATCTTCATCAAGGCCAACTGAATATTCCAAATATTCATTCTCACCCAACTACAACTTGTGCAATAATGAATTTAGAGTTGTGATTCACACATTCTAGCATAACAGAACGAAACAAACAAAAATAAATATAATAATAAAAAATCATCAGTGTTTTGCAAGATTTGAAGGTTGTCATGTGAAACTCTTTCAAAATTCATTTCCAAAAGTTTTCCACTGAGGTAGCAAGAATCGGAGACATCCAACTCCAAATGGAATTATGTTGGAAGACAATTGAGTCAATGTGCACAAAACAGCCAAGAAGCACGTACGCATGGTGGATCAAAGTGAACCCAGTTGAAGAATCTATCTGTTGCAAAACCTTCATTCATTCCAGTGACAGATTTTCTATTGCTAAAAATGATCACACCAAAAAATCAAATAAAAATAATAAAAATAAAAAGTCCAGAAGTCAGAGGATGTGCAGAATGAAGTATCCGCTCGAGGGAGCTCAGATTACGAAAAGAATGCCATTGTGGTGAATGTCTCTCCGAGTCTACCTCTCTCAGCTTCCATTGAATCCTGGAGGCTGCCACTTTTGCTCGCTATTCTTGGCGATGGGATAGAAACTAGACAACCACTATTGCGGAAGTCTTAAGTTCAGATTCTTTGCTGCATACATGCAGACAAGGCTCTCGACAGATTCTATGGCTGGAGCTTTCCTGGAATCGTGAAATTTGCACTCTGGCTCACGCGATGCGTCGGGACTGTTGCGTTATTCTTTCCAGATCTATAGTCACCTGCAAGCTCACATATGATTCCTCACCCACGTCGTTCTGAGCCTCTGAGTGTACTCGTGGGATGCTTCCTCTTGCCGAGATGCGTTTGGGCTGTGCACGACTCGTTGTCCTTCTGGGTTATGGTTTTTTTACACTTTGGACTTACTGTTGAATCTTGTTCGATTGCTGGCTGTAGCACCTGCATGCAGAAGATCTTGCAACACAGTTTGATAAGCTTGGCTACTTGTCGATTTTTTGCCAGGTGAAAGCTGTAGACACTACTGCGTAGAAAAGTGTCGTGAAATAAGTTCCCACTTATATCCGGTTGATGTCACTTTGATAAAGGTGTAGTGTCGTATGGTCATTGTGACGATGGATCCTGCAGAATGTCGGGTAACACGATGGTAAGTATATGCTAAAGTATTGAGTTACTATTGGCGTGCCTGAACCGTAGCAAGGACAGTATGAGAATTGCACTAGGGGAAGGGATCGCGGCAGGATTTCGAAGATGCAACTGGACTACAGAACAGAAGCAGGTTTGATGTGAAACTGGACACGACGAGATGAATGAATATGGTGGTAGAAAATGTTATTAAACCCAGCAGGGTGGGAAGGCTAAACAGGATGGGAAGGCTAAAACTGTTCAAACGTGAACATAATTTTCAGGCACTGCTGCTGTGGAAAATCGGGTCCAACAAAGTCGGACTCAGTGGATTCCAGTAGCATTGTCTAACTTCTGTTGAAGCTTCGCAAGCTTCTTAGCCCAAAGTGTTTTCTGGCGGTCTCTCTCCTCCTCTAGTCGTTCTACACATTCCTTCGAAAGCCCTTTGTACACTTTCTCTGACTTGCCGCATTTCCCACGGACCTTGCAATTGAGTAAAGAGTTCGCAGACTCTATACCTGGTCCCACCCAGACAATGCACCAGATTTCAGGCCAGTGAGAAACTACCCTCCGATTCTTTCCCAGAACGGATAAATGTTCAAAATAAATGTGCATGCAAATTAAGAACTCGATCAGATCCAGAGTTATTCTTTGTTCCCGCTTACCTTGGTTTCGAAAGGATGATCAGCACAATGCTCTCTGATGAAGGTGATGAGTACAACTAAACAGACTTTATGACAAAACAATACAGCATATGTGGCATGACAAATAATAGCAAAAAACTGGTGATAACTTCGACTGGCGCTTGGGTTGTACCCAAAACCAAATCCTAGATAAATCGGTCACTTTTCACGTACAACATGTACTCTAAATTTTTGAAATAAATATGCAAAAAAGGTTCCGCCGGCCCTGATGCCCCTAACTTGGGACACCTTGCAGGGTATAGCCTCTGCCCAGATGCCATCCCACAATGTACTTACACAGCGTAGTTTACGTCCACTGGAATAAGCGCGGATTTCATGCATTGTTGTAGATTTCCAAGTTGGCAATTCTAACTCGTTTCAAACCACGCTCAACTGTTGCTGGACAGTCGAAATGCTCAAGACGCCTATCAATACGTGCTTAGTCATTAAAGAATAAAGTACCTTGCAAGTAAGGGCCATGAACATAGCCATTGTACTCCTCGCTTGTGTGCTCGCCGGTGAAGTAGATAGTTTGGACCGGCGCCTGTTGAGTAAACCAAGCACAATTTGTTATTCATGTACCGCTTCCTCTCATTCAAAGGTTCCTTAAACAATCGCTTGCATGGCGATGGCTTACTTGAAGTTGCATGAAGATGTTGGATTCCACGCCGATGGGCCAGTTGGAGAAGGTGCCTTTGAAGAAGGGATCAGCCAACCATCTTGGCACGTAGATGCTCTCGGCTTCAGGGACCTTGGACCCGAACATGTTGCGCAGCACAGCCATGATCTCTTGTAGTGTTTCACTGTCCTCCTGTTGCTCAATGCGGCGGGACTCTTCGTCTGTAACAGTCACCATGAGAATATTCTTCCCTGGAAATTCGCTGTCCAAGTTCTGCACTCACACAACAAAAACCATAGAGTTTCGGATCTAGGTTAATTGCTTCGAATATGAAGGCACTTGTAAGCTAGCTCTTTCACTGAATGAAGATGAAGTGAATGATCCGGTACCTGCCAGATCGGGTAGTAGCCTCGGCGCTCATCCGCATACAACCAAAACTTCGTCCCGGGACCGATGTTCCAGAATGTGTAGGGGAATTTTAAAAATATCTTGGTGTATACTGCCATGTCGAATGCGTAGATAGCTTTAAGCTTCCAAAACGGCAAATCGGGCACGAAGTCTATCAGTTTGCTCTGGAGCACGCCCAGGCTAACAGACACAATGGCATAATCGGAAGTGTACACTTAACCGTTTTCTGTCGTCACTTTTACTCCCTTTTTGGTATACTCCACCTTGCGAACAACCTGAAGCATTGGAAGGTGATCCCACGACGTAATAAATCCTCCAGTAGAGCCGCAAGGACATGCATCGCATCGCAGAATACAGTTGTCGCAAACATACCTTGTTAAACTTGAGGCGTGGATCGGTGATCGTCTCGTTGTTGAAAGCAAGATACGATTTAGCCAAATGATGGACTATGGATTTAAATCCGCGGGGATCATGAACGAATTGAAAAGCTTCTCCAAAATTGGTAATCGTCGGAAGGGGCTGCGTGCTCTTCAAACTCGTCACTCTCGGAGGTTCGGCGTATTCATAGTCGTTGTGATATAAGTCTAACACCATCTCTACTGGAGTACTCGGGGGGCAGGAAATCACCAATGCACCACACCACATCGATCACACCCTACATCGTTCAAAAAAGCCTCAGCCACTAGTCATGAGGAAATCGAGCTTGGAAAACATCACAACATACCTGCCATAGAACCGCTGGGCTACAAGCACCGATACATCCATCTCCTCTCCTTTCGTCAAGTCCTCTGATAAGGTTTCGGTGGATTCATATAGTTGTTCGACCATTTCGGATTGAGATAATGCGAGTGTAGGATTAACAAAACCTCTGTTGTAGGGCCATCGTGAAACATTTGCAAGTCAGAAACGGAGTCTGCTCATCCCACAGTTAATGCAAGCAAGATCTGTATGCATGGGTTTTTGAATGCTTACGAGGCGTCGTAGATGTTTTGAGAAGTGTTTTCGAAGGGGGAATAATCAGTAATGAGCCCAATCTCCCTGGCAAAGGGCAAGATTGGATTGACCTGAGGACCATCAGTGCCCTCGATCCAATTGGCGCCTTTCTCAATGACAACATCCCCAAACGTGTGTGTCATCATCCTCCCGCCTATCTCATGTCTCGCCTCCAGTATTATGATGTCTTTCACACCTTTGTCGTGTAAGTGCTTCCCCGCACTGATGCCTGCAAGTCGTTCCCAACCAGACAAAGCTCAAGAAAGTGTTGATAGTCATACCACCCTGTTGATAGTCGCACATCTTCAAAGAGCATGTTTCACTTGCATCTAGCTACAGAAATCCGGATAACACTGAGTTGTGAGTCAACAATCACCTGACATGCCCGCTCCGATGATGATAGCCGTCGCATGGGTTGGGTCGGACGCATAGTGCCTCGCTGCATGCAAAATTTCCGTTGTACTCAGCAGCAGGAGCAACACCACCAACCCACCCTCCAAACGCCGGGGTGCCATGGCTGAAGCTGCAACACGGCAACCAAACAAAACTCTCCCTATGAGCAGTCAGTTCATGGACACTCGCATTCTACTCCACCTCTCTCACACTCTCTCTCTCGCTGTCTCCAACAACGACTTGAGCTCAAAAGACCCCCAAAACTTGGTGTGTCCACGAGGTTCTCGCCACTTGGGCAGATGATAAATCCCACTGGAATCTCATAGATACTGGTCTAGGCAAGTCTCACACTTGTACCAGATTAACCGAACAGAGGAATTGGTCCTTGCCGGACCTGGCTAGGCATATTTTAAACCATATTTTTCTGCAATAGAGAAACTATTTGTGTCTAAAAAAGGAAAAAAGAAGGGCCCCACCACTCCAATCCTATCACACCTGCACAAGACTGTACATCCGCCTTTTAACACACGTTGAGGCAATGGTCAGCTGCACCACGATGCATGGTGCTATTGCCCACGACAGTTACATAGGTTTGCGCATAACAATGCAGTACACGAACTCGTTCGTAAAAAATGGTAAACAAATAACAACACCATGAGTACATTAAGCTTGAGACAAGGCTCGTCTGTTTGGAGTGTTTGAGGACTGAATCGAACACTCTCAGCTAGACGAGAATCATCGAACACTCTCAACTAGACCAAACAGTGCAAATGTCATTGCAAATGTTAGTGTGTGTGTCCACATCTATAAAAACAAATGTACCTTGTCCAGACTTTTAACCGAAAGCCAGAATTCATATTAGCTTGTACTGATATAGCCTGGACTCCTTTCGCAGTCTGTAAGCAGGAATACTTTCTACACTGTCATGGATAAGGACTGATATCACGTCATGTTAAGCCATCACTACTGGCAAGGATTATGTACTTCATGTCTAGTGTGAAATAATGTTGTGGATGAAGAGAGAATATCGTATATCAGTTAGTTTTTTTCTTCTTCATTTTTTCTTTTTTCCACATTAAATGGTTGGGTAAAAGAAATGGTGATTTAGATTGAGATTCATGTGCAGTAATCATTTGCCAGGAATTTGGCAGAATTAGCTCCAGTTTTTATGCTCTTCAATTGCAGGCATTAAATGTTTATGTTGTTATTGAAGGTGTGTGTTGACTTGAATCATATCGACTTTATGCATTACTACATTATGACTATTATATTTCAAGGAAATCAAAATTATATCAAAATTTAACAGTATATTAATAGAAAAGTTGATTACATTCAATTTTGTTTTCTAATATTATATATGTATACTAATTTTGTATAGTTTTTAATTGTGCCGGTTTTTGCTTCCACGAGAGTCTTGTGCCAAACTATGTTGAATCTGCGGACAGACATGGGTGCATCCAACAGAGGAAAATGACTTCATTTTCAGAGATGTCCTTAGTAGACTGCACAGCTCACAGGAGGATAGAATCTTACATGGATAGGGTGCTGGAGTCACTGTTCACGAGGGAAGGCGACACATGCTGCGGCTGCCATGATCAGAAGAATGGTGAGATGCATCCGTGTAAAGCCCTCTGACGCACACCTATCAATGCGTTCGCAACAAGGATTTGAGCGTGCAGAGGAGCAGAAATCTACTGGACCGAGATATAAATATCCATATATATGTGTGTATATATATATATATATATATCAAAAAGAATCAATTTATTAATTATTATTGATATTTACCTTTCTTTACGGAGGTAAAGTTATTAAATATGAACTATTTTTAGTTTTATAAATAATTTGATTAAAAACCAAATATGTTCATAAATTCATTGACTGATAAGTACATGTTTTTAGATATTAAAGAATTTATTGACATCTTTATGTACTTTAATAAAATTATCTATAATTTTTTAAAAAAAAACATTCAAAAACCTTATATACCAGAGTACATATTAAAGTACATAATATCTATTGACTACTAAGTTTTATATTTCTATAATAAGTAAATATTACATTATATAATAATCAAATGATATAATTGTTAGAAAAAAGAATAAGCTTGTTATCGAAAATGTAGCACATGGACAGCCAACACCCCAAGCTGAAAAATTCTTTACTTTTTATAGGTACAGACCCATGGAAGAGCTTAGGGTTAGGGTAGAGGCTCCAGACCACATAGGACAGTTCTTAACAGTTGAAAAGCCCCATCTCTCTTCTCCAAGAGGCTGGAGAGAAACCTTCATTTCCACACAATTTCTAAAAACACAATTATCAATACCAATATTTTTTTCAATCAAAAAGTACACCATACGAATACATACAAACAAATTTTGAGTTTAGTTAATGTATTCAACAAAACCCGCTTATTACACACTAGCTGAACTTTCTACTAAGATTTCCAGTGGAACTTCTTATGGTAACCTATTTTTGGTTTCAGTGTTAACCAAATATGCCAAGGTAATCCTCTCAAGCATATCAGCTTTCTAATAAAAAAAATAAAATAAAATAAAAAACATACACACACACTCACACACAACAACGTTATGGCCCGCACTGGAAACCCAGTCAAGACCCCACGTCTCTCTCAAAAACACTAGAAAATGGTGTCAAACTCACTCACATTCAACCATAATAGAGCAAATTCTGAGAGTTTGTTCTCAAAGAATTTACTCCTGGTCAAATATTTTGTTCTGTTTTCCACGCATGTCTTGCTTAGAATTAGGCTTTGAATTAGTTAACCGGTTTTGGTTAACTAAATTGTCACTTCCTGGAATGGGATTCCAATTTCAAACAATTCTACTCAGAATCCAGTTTAGCCATACCCAACACCCTCCCCTCGCTTTTCTAAACAATAACCACACAAACACAAATGTATGCCTGGGATAAGTTGTATACAACGTACCACTGCACACAACACACACATTACAACACAGATCCACTACAACAAGAATTTGGTCAAAAAGAGAAGTAATCGTCTCTCTTATGTAAAACTTGATTCCACATTCTAATATGTAGAGTCACCCACAGTTAATGCTTCTGGCTAAAATCGTAGCAATTGGCAAAGTCTGTGATATTCTGATTGTTGTTGACCAAGGCAGCTTAACCAATTCAACTATCAACAAGGTAACGATGCCTAAAACCAAATGATCATGTACAAGTTAACCAATTTAAAAGTAACGAATCATCATTTTCAGGTTAACAGTGGGCACAACGACCAACGATAGAATTATCGTGATTGATTTAAAAGTGATGAAGAATTTGACGCACCTCTTAAGCTGCTGGATTCATTAAACGACTAAAATGACAAACACGATGAGTAGACGATTCTGTATGCGACATTACACTAATTTCGAATGTACGAAATAGTCAAGTCCTACTCCTAACCAGACTCTCCCCTTCCTCTCCATCAAGTTGCGTCTGTTGCGCTCATACTAAATTTTCTATTATCATTTCTAAATATGCATAATGCATCGGACTGCGCACAGCCCGATGTTAGATTTAAAATCTCAGCAGAGTCAGTGTCTCCAACAACGGTGATTGAAAAACGCCCAAGCAATACTCCGTGTACACTGAATCATCTCGTAGTTTAAAGTGAGAATTCATTCATGTCAAGGTCATGGCTCGGATAACCAAAACTCTCTTTACCTGGCAAAAGGAATTAAAAATTTTAAAAAATAAAAAATAACATGTCGCCAAGTTATGTATTCTAAACAACTTGATACTAGGAACCATGTGTTTGCTCTTCTTTCCTCTTCAAAGAAAGTATTCTATCTATCAATTTCTAATCAAATTTTGTTCAACTAGCCACTATCTATCCTATCACTTAGCTAAAAAAATTCATCTATATCTACTCTCTAAGAAAATATAATTTTCAATGATCTTCACAATAATTATTAGATGAAAGTATTGTCATGAATAGAAAATTTTCATCTCATCAATAATGAAGATCATTTGAATTAGTCATGTGAAAGTTAGCTCAGAAGGACCTAACTAACTTAAGATGAGATTGCTTCTTGATTCTTGACATGAGGGACAATTCTTGAGGCAAGGGAAGTAGATTTTGGCAAGAACTTATTAATTCACCTGATTAGTAATTAACTTGCTTACTAAGGTATTAGGTATAAATTTGGTAATAAATCATGTATTTGAGGAGAAGAGAGTGATAGTATTCATATAAACATATGTCATTTGTATCATCTTCACTTAATAAAGATAGATTTATATTATTGAGTATCATCAAGTTGTTTAATTAAGAATGATCCTTATGAAACTTGAGATTATTCATGCATGTTGGAATAAGGGCTAAAGAGTGGATGAAGTCAAGAGCTAATGAGATCAACATGCTAATACTTTCTTTTAAATTAGTCAGTTCTAAAAGAGTTCCAAGAAACTAAAATGCTTTGCATCTTTAGTTCCATTGCTAAAATACAAATTTGTCTCTATTCCAAAAAATTCAACAATATAGATAGAGACGATTTTGATCTTATGAACATATCCATGATCAAATATTGATAGTGACAATGAGAGGATGTCGAAACTATAGTGTGGTTTCAAAAAAGCCTACCCTACAAGATTTGATATTGTTTAAAATCATGATTATTTCATTTTAGAAAGAAAATAGGAGGCAAAGACCAAATTTTCTTTTGTATGTAGATTTCTAATCTTTCCTTGAAAGTATATTGAGTTAGTATTTGTATTTAGTTTAAATTACATACTTTATGATTGGTTAGTAGAACTCGATGTGTTGTATGTAACAATCTTTGTTTATATGGCATTAAGATTATCAAATGTGAAAACTATCTAATAAATTGGTCATGCTAACTTGATGTTGCATAGGCAAGTACTCCTGTATCTTACCACCATAGCTAATGCATGCAATTTTTAAAGTTTATATATCATGTTTAGATGAAGTTTAAACATATTTTGAATCAAACTTACTTAAACTATTAGGCAGTCAATCAAGAATTTTCTATATAATAAAACATTTATAACAATAGTAGAATATGATAATCTTTGTGGGTAGATCAAACACATAATTGTTAAAGTCTACAAAAGGTTACAACCAATAAAGATAAAAGATAATGTATTTATTGAGTATAAAATATCACTCAAAGAACATAGTAGCAAAAGTGAAGATGATACATAAGACCTAAATCATTTTAAAAAAAATAGACTATAGTTTGAATGATGGATGTTATGGATATATATAGATATACTAGTAAATACCTATATGGTTAGGTAGAAGTAGGTAAAAGTAGAAAAAAATAGGATAATTTCATAATATCTTTTAGAAAAGCTTCT